AAGTGTCAAGTGTCTGAGGCTGGATTTGAACTCAAGTCCTCCTGACTCCAAGGCTGGAGCTCTATCCATTGAGCTACCTAGCTCCCCTCATCCTATGGATTTTTATATATGACAGAGATACTAGTCTACTAGTAAGCATGTTCAATTTCCTTAACTAGATTGGAAGTTATAAACAGTAACTTCATATTCTCTTTTGCAGTTGAGATTCTGAAAGAATTGATGATTCATCAGACTGGCAAAGTTGACAAAACAGAAAATGACAAATTCTGGAGGAGCTATGGGAAAACAGATATTGTTAATATACTACTCATGGAGCTGTGAATTGGTATAACCATTCTGGAAAGCAATTTAGGACTATGCCTAAAAAGTTACATAACTATTCATACCATTTGACCTATCGACACCACTAGGCTTATACCCCAAAGACATCACTGAGAGAGGAAAAGGACCCAGTATGTACAAAAATATTTGGAGTAGCTCTTCTTGTGGTGGCAAAGAACTGAAAACTAAGGGAATGTTCATCAACTGTAGAATGGCTGAACAAATTGTAGCATCTGTATATAGTATACAGTATGTATAGTATATTGGGATATTGTTGTGCTATTAAAAAATGATAGAGACCATTTCAGAGAAATCTGGGAAAACTTGTATTAAGAAAGAAGTGAGGAGAGCAATTTATATAATAACAATAGCATTGTAAAAAAAAATTTGGGAGATTTAAGAACTCTGTTCAATCTAATGGCCAATTATAATTTAATAGGATTCATGACAAAGCATGCTACTCACCACCTCACAGAGGTGATGGATTTAGGGTGCAAAATGAGACATACTTTTTGGACATGGCCAATGTGAAAATCTGTTTTGCTTTACTGTGCATATTTCTTATAAGAGTTTTTCCCTTCCAATGCAGGAGGGGCAAGGAGAGAAAATTTATTTAATTTAGTTTAGCAGCTTATACTAATATAGGAATCTGAGGAAATTAAGTGGCTACTAACACACCATCTAGAAAAAAAATTAGGCAATTAATTTTCTACTCAAAATCTAATGCTCCAAGGAACAAATGGAAAGTTGTCTGAAATGGCGCTACAAACACCTCATTTGTAGCAACTATTCACTTTGAAATGAACCAAGACAGGGCACTAACCTCTTTATTTCTCTTTTATTTTTTTCTCAATTGCATGTAAATTTTTTTTTAACATTAAAAAAAAAATTTAGTTCCAAATTCTCTCCAATCCTCCCTCCCCCTACCCTCCTTAAGAAGGCAAGCAATTTGATATAGATGATACATGTGAAGTCCTGCAAAACATATTTCCATATTAGCCATGGTGCAAAAACATAGACCATGAATCTCCCCACCCCCCCAATAAAAATAAAGTGAAAAAAGTATGTTTTGACCTGCATTCAGACTCCATCCGTTCTTTCTCTGCAAGTTGATAGAATTTTTCATCCTAAGTCCTTCAGAATTGTCTTGGGATCACTGTATTGCTCAGAATAGCTACGTCATTCAGTTGTTCATTGTATAATATTGTTACTGGGTACAATATTCTCCAAGTTCTGTTCACTTCGCTTTATATTAGTTCATATAAATCTTCCCATGTTTTTCTTAAACCATCCTGCTTGTCATTTCTTATAGCACAACAGTATTCCATCACAATCAAATACCTCAATTTGTTCAGCCATTCTCCAATGGATGGGCATCCCCTCAATGTCCAATTCTTTGCTACCACAAAAAGAGCTGCTATAAATATTTTTTGTACATATACATTCTTTTCCTTTTTCTTTGATCCTGGTAATGATATTCCTGGGTCAAAGGGTATGCACAGTTTTATAGCCTTTTGGGCAGAGTTCCAAATTGCTCTCCAGAATGGTTGGATTAGTAGTTCACGGCTTCACCATGAGGCACTGTACCTCTTCACTGTTGCCAGAACTGTAAGCCTAATTATCACCAAACTTCTCCACTGAGGCTCCTATTCCAGTCAAATTATTACAGAAGAGTGGCCTCAATTATTTCTAGATGAAGTTCTGTAGCATCAGTTGAGAGGTATGGTAATAAAAGGGGACTCTAAACCATCACTAACACCTAGGCTTTCTTACCCTTCAGAACAACAGGTGGTAGACCTAAGGCCTCCTTTTAAAGGTCTTTTGTGACTAGATAGGCAGCTAGATGGCTCAGTGGATAGCAAGCTAGGCCTGGAGTCAGGAAGACCTGAGTTCAAATCCAACCTCAGTTACCTACTAGCTATGTAACCCTGGGCAAGTCACTTAACCTCTATTTGCCTCAATCCAGTGGAGAAGGAAATGGCAAACCATTCCACTATCTTTGCCAAGAAAACCCCGGTGGACAGTACTGGTGTGCTATGGTCTACTGAGTCATGAAAGGTTGGGTACAACCAAACAAGTAACTGCATAATCAGTTTGAGATTTCTATCGCTAATTACGGCACCCAATGAATGAAGGGAGGAGCCCCATGAATTCTTTTTGAATAAAAGGTCACATGTCACAGAACAAGCACTACTAGGAAAACCTTATTAAAACAGATATACTATACTGCTCTCTACCCTCCTCCAACAATCTCCCCTAGTTACAGCCCTCAGAGTGACTTGTGCAACCTACAACAATGAGCAATGACACCCTGAAGATTATAAAAAACCACTGCCCTATTTTGAAATTTTACCTAAGGGTTAGACTGCCTTCCCTGATCCTCAGAGTTTTTATTGAACTCTCTTGTGAAGTTATTTGTATAGACATGTTGGGTCCTTACCCCAAGACAAACATAGATCTCAAATAGAGCACCTAGCACAGGGGCAGGCATACCCTTAGCACACACTTAATAAATGTTTGTTGAATAGAACTTACTGAAGAATTCTCTCTACTGAGACCACAGACCTACAGTTTGTAAAATATAAGGGGCTCCTTTTAGAGTTTTCTAGTCAAACACGGCCAGTGTTATTTCCCCAGCCCACCCCCATTCTGGGAAAAAGTGTATTTATCACTTGGCAGGTAGGTGATGCAAGGGGCCATCTCCAGTTCTCCTGATATATGTCTTGTCTCTGGACCCAGATGGCTCTGGAGGGGAAAGTGAGGCCGGTGACCTTGAACAGCCCTCTCTCACTTAAATCCAATGCATTTGCATGTCATGGCATTATCCTCCGGATGCCATAGTCCTCTTTGAGAAGGAAGGACAAACAACAGCAGGTGATGCAGTAGTGCTGGTCCTGAAGAGCTGAGCCCAAATCCTGCCTCAGACACCTAATAGCAAGCCATTTAACCACAGCCTCAGTTTCCTCATCTGTAAAATGAGGATAATAATAGCATCTATCTCCTAGGGCTGTTGTAAGGATAGAATTAGATAATATTTGTACAGTGTTGATAATAATAGCACCTAATAATAGCCAGCACCTACCTCAGTCTCCACATTAGTAAAATGGAAATCATAATAATAGTACCACCCTCACAGCCTTGTTGTGAGGATCAAAGGAGATGATATAAGTAAAGCACTTTGCAAACTTTCAAGCCCAAAGCGTGTCCCTGCTGTTACCAATATTATCCATCATAGCTTCAAGTACACTTGGAGGGTAATCACCACTAAGTCATCCTCTACCCAAAAAGCCTTCCGGCCCAGCCAATCCCTTTCTCAGCCTTCTTTTTCTGGGCTAAGTCAGAGGACCCCAAGTGCTCCCAAGATTGGAAGGCTGGGAGGCAGCACTGTATAATGGAAGGTTATGGGTTCAAATTCTATCTTACTACCTGTGTGGCCTCGCATAGTGGATTCATCTCAGGACTTCTGTTCTCCCCCCACCCCCTAATAAAATAAGGTATCGGGCTAGGACTAGGTAACCCTCCTCCAAGGCCCCTCCCAGCTTTAAATCTATGATGCCAGAATAGGATCTCCCTGGCCAAACGGGGAAGGGATGCTTGAGAACCCTACGGAGTGGGAGTAACAACCGTTAAGTCCCACAGCCCCGGCATGCACTTCTAAAAACATTTATAAAGTACCCACTGTATGCCAGGCTCTGGGGTTACCAAGACCCAAAGAGCTCACATACACAAGTAGACAAAAACACTCAGACTGTAGGGGAGGGGCCAGCCCCCTCAGAGGATAGATCACTGGAATGTAGAGTGGCAAGCAGGAGAGAGTAAATGTTTAACAATCAGCTCTCCAAAAAAGAGATGTATGCATGCCACACTTTTAAGTTTAATCGACATTTTTATCCACCACTTCCCAAAGTCTGGCCAATCAACAAATCAATACATCTTCAAGCCCTGATTTGCAGCGTTTGCCCGATTTCCGGCGGCACACAGTAGGCGCTTAATAAATGTTTATTGAATGAATGAATATGAAAGTTGTATTGTAAGTACAACAAACGTTTCACAATCGGTTATCCCCAGCCGGTGGAAGCTGGCTCCAGTACAACCCTGGCTGGAAGGGATCAGTTATACGGATCACTCGAGTATCACCTGCCTTTGTCCGTCCTCGTACCCACCGACCCTCCTCCCGAGCCCCGCAGCGGCCCTGCCCCTCGTACCCGGAGGTTGGCCCGGAGGCCCAGGCTCTTGGCCAAGCTCTGCAGCTCGCAGTACTTGAAGGAGTCCAGCTCCGTAGCCAAAGGGAAGGCCATGCCGCTCTCTCCCATCGGGACGCGTCTCTCCCGCTACGAAGTTCCCCGAAGTCTAACAGCCGAGACAGCAACAGTTCAAAACTCCCGCGCCACCCCCGGAAACGTTACTTGCTAATTTCTGCCAGACGGTTTAAATTGAGAGATGCCGTCTTCTCATTGGTTGAGAGTGGTGAGGGAGGCGGGGCTCCTGAGTTCCACCAATAGTAAGCCGACATAGATTCCGTCCCCTCCCCCCTCCATCACGATTGGCTCGGCTTGGTTCGGGTTTGTTTCTTCAGGCCCGTGATCCTTCCTGCACGCATTTGGGCTACGGTCCTCCCTCCCAGCTGTGTACTTGATCCTCAGGCCCGAGAGTCGGGGCCGCCGGGGTTGCTTGAGCCGAGTCTGGCCATGAAGAGGACTTCGCGTCGGAAGCGGGGTCCGCGCGCCGGGGCCGAGGCGGAGGAGGAGGAGGAGGAAGAGGAAGCGGCGGCTGCGGCGGCGGCGCCCCGGAGGTCCGGGAAGAAGACTAGCTCGAAGCCGCTCAGTGAAATCTTCCAGGAGTTGGAGGCACAGGCCTCCAAAGACAGCCGCCGTTCCGAGGAGCCGCCGGCGGGCAAGGAGGCCTCTTCCGCCTTCGCGGAGTGGGACGCGAAGGCGGCCAAGAGGTCCTGCCCGCTGGGTGCCAGCGGGCTCCGCGGAGGCGAGGCCGCGCCGGAGCCCGAGGCCTCGGGGCCTTTGGAGAACTTCGTCGTGTTCCACTGCCTGGACTGCTTCGCCGTGCTCGGCGACTCTGTGCATCTGTGCGGGGAGGAGACGCGCCTGCTGAGCATCCTTGTCCTCAGCCGTGAGTGGGGCGCGGGCCCCTCCCCCTTCCCCCCCGCGGAGGGAGGAAAGGAGGAAGGAATGAATGAATACACGCCTGCATGCATGTGTGAATGAGTGAGTGAGTGAATGAATGAATGAGCGCCACCTTCTATGAGCCCGGCACTGCGCTGGGAGGCGCAGCTACCGAAGGGAGACAGGACTGGGTCTAGCACAGTGCCTCACACACAGTAGGCGCTTAATAAATGTTTAACGAATTGAAAACAACTACATATAAGGGGAAGCCTTGGCTCTGGGGAAGGGGGTTTTGGTCTGGGGAGTCACAGGCATAGCGATTTCCCGGGAGATGACTGATTGGGATGTGAACTCTGGGTCTGGGGCCAGCAGATATAGTGAGTTAATTTTTAAAAAAATGGCATTTATATAGAGCTTTAAGGTTCGCAAAGCACTTTACATAAGTTATCTCATTTTGCTCCTTTTAACAGCCCTGTGAAATCAGTGCTGATTAAGTTTGTCAACTTAAGCCTCAGAAGTGTTAACAGTCTCTGGGAATCCCAGGTGGAAAATTAATTCACTTTGAGGTAGACCTATACTTCGCACCGTAGAAAGAATGCCGGATTAGTCCGAGGTTCCTATTTCAGATTCTCTACCTCTGTCACTTTCTACTTACCTGACCTTGGACAAGTCACTTTTGGGGCTTCAGTTTCTTCATTTGTAAAATGAAGGGTTTAAATTTCTTTCTAGCTCAGTCCACAGCTGTTTACATGCTGTCTGCCCTTCAAGCAGACTACGAAGAACTCTGGGTTGTGGACCTCTAGCTGTTCAATCCTCACCCATACTAATTAGTGGGGAAAGGAAGAAACAGTAACAATAGTCTAGGGAGTTAGGTACTTTGTCTTCCCCAAACTAGACAGTCAATCATCCAGTATTTATTAAACACCTGTCATGTGCCAGGCACTCTGCTAAGCAATGGGTAATACAAAGAAAAAGTAAAATAAATCTAGGATGCTTTCAAAATCTGACATTCATATCCAATGGTGTGAAGCTTATAAGCTTATACACACATGCATATATGTATATGTATACACACACACACACATACATACATACAGAGAGAGAATTATCTCTGCTGAGAATACTTCTCTCTCCTGCTTTTCTTTAACCTTTCTGACTGTTCCTCACTCTCCTTTCTAGACCCATCTCTGGCCTACCACATGTGAGTATCCTCCAAGGTTCAGTGTTATGCTCTGTTCTCTTAACCTCTTTATACTCTATTCTTTGATGATCACTTTCCATTTGTTTAATTATTATCTGTACATATGTGACTCCCAGATGTACATATCTACCCCTGCTTCCCTGGAGTTAATAGTCACGCAAAGCCTAGCCAGCTGCCTGCTGGACATCACCTAGATGTCACCTGGTATCTCAAACCTAATGTGTTCAAAATGGAACTGATTACTTCCCACTCTTCATCAATCCTTTCTTTGAAATTTCCCCATTTACTTTGAGATTTGTACTAGAATTGTAAAGTATGATTAACCTAGGATTTGTTCTTGACTCTTTGTTCCTGTTTCTCTCTCCCTGCCCCCACATCTGATGAACCAAGTCATCTTACAACCTCTTTGCCATCTCTCCAGTTCTCTCCTTTCCCACAGCTGACATCCTAGTTCCAGGCCTTTTTCCATGCATTCCTCCTATTTCAAAAGTGTCCTAGTAGTTTCCTTCTAGACTCTCCTGCTTCAACATGTCCTCCACAGAGCTGCCAAAAGTTTTCCTCAGACACAGGCCTGACTTTCCCCTGCTCAGAAACTTTTATTGACTTTATATTGTCTCTAGGATAAAATACAAAATCTTCAGCCTTTTCATTTCCCTTTCCATGATCTGGTTCCAAGCTACCTTTCCAGACATATTTCTTTACATTCCAACCAAAGTGAAGATTCCCCAAATATTTCACTTTCCATTTCTGCACCTTCACATAGGACTTTCCTCATGCCTGAAATATAGGCAGCCCTTAGCTTGGTCTGCACAGAGCCTTTAACTTCCAAGTTCAGTTTGGGACTCATCTTCTCTTAGTCTTTACTTGATAACCACAATTAGTGTTCTTTCCCTTCTCAAGTTATCTTGTGTTTAACTTATCTGTGTGCACATCTTGTATTTTTCCATTAGAATGCATGCCCCTTGAGGACAGAGGTTTTTTTTTTTTTGGCCTTTGTATCTCCAGGCATAGTATACCTTACTTTACATGTAGTGGGAGCTTTTTAATTGTCTCTTGTTTTGTTGAGAAAGGTGAAGGAGGAATGAATCAGGCCAGAAGATACTAGATGGAGAAATCTAATTAATACTAGCAGAGAGTCAGAAACTTATTAGTGTTTTTCTCCCTAGGGATCACACATAATGTCATTTTGGATAAGTCCTTACTGGTTGGCATTGAAGGTGCTCTCCTGGGCAGGTAGGTACTAATTGTTTGAAATGTGTCTGTGGTTTCTGATTTGATAAAATTATAATGAGAGATATTTAAATGTGCTAGAATAAAAGAGTTTATTTTCTTCCATTTATTTTTCCATTTTATATGACCTTTCTACTATTTTATACTCCTTTCTTTTCCACCTCTTCCCCCCTCCTTTTTTTTTTTTTTTTTTTTTAAACTTTGCCTGTGAGGAGCTGTCTGGAAAGGGATACTCTATGCAAATCAGCAACTTATCTGTAACTAGTAGTCAAATTTGTCAATGCTGTGAAGCTTGGAGCAGTTACTAATGTATTGAATGACAGATTCAGGATTCATCACATTAGACTGATAGGCCAAAATGAATAAGGTGAAATGTAATGGAGGTAAATGTAAAGTTTTACAGTTGAGAAACAAAAATTAACCTCAAAGGAGGTATGACTAGACAACATCTTTTTGGTGCCTTAAGAGAAGCCTTGTATCTAGAACACAGGTGGTCAGGCTGCCTTCCAGTCCTTACATTTTTAGGAAGGATATTAAATAAGCTGGAGTATATCCAGAGGAGGGTGAAAAGGACAGAGACTATGCCATGTGGTGTTAGCCTAATGAACAAAAGACTTAGGGTTTCATGAAGGCCGTTGTTAGGGACTTATAAGCTGTTATGTGAAAGGATTAGACTTGCTGAGGAAGAAGTAGAAACAGTAGATAGAAATTGCAGAGAGGCCGATTTAAGTAAGATATAAGAAACAATTTCCCAACAATTAAAGCTGTCCACACTTGCCTCAGAACCTGGTGATTTTCCCTTTCTTAGAAATCTTCAAGCCAAAAGGCTGGACAGCTGACCACTTGTCAGCTATTGGGTGGAGTAGGATTCTAAACTTGAGCAGAGAAACTGTTTGATTTTTGTTTTTGTACCTCCAGCACACAGTAAACCTTCAGTAAATGCTTGTTGAATTGGTTTCTGAGATCCTGTCCATTTGTGTTAAGCCCACTTGGGCTGGATGTATGAAGGGAAGCAGGGTGAAATATTACTTGAAAGTTGAATTAGAGCCAGATTATATTGCATCTTGAATGCAACTGGCTTATATTATTATCAGTGCATTCAAATAAAGTTGATTTTCACTGTAATTGTCAATATTCTAATCAAGTTCTGCCACAGAGAGACCATTGGCTGTACCAGGAGATATTTGGTTTTATTTTTTTCTCCTTCAATTAGTTAGTAATTGACATGATGATGGCAAGTTTATAGTATAATATTTGTGATCTTAAGTATTTTATGTATTTGATACTACAATATAATTTCTTATCTTTTCAATGATAATTTTAAAAATTTGAAACGCAGCTATGATTGATGTTTGCAGTCAGTATCCACAATTTTTTTTTTGAGAGGTGAGACAGTTGGGGTTAAGTGACTTGCCCAGAGTCACACAGCTAGCAAGTGTCAAGTGCACAATTTTTTTTTTTTTACCATTAGGTTAGATTACCTATGGATTTAGTTATTTTTATGCTGCTTATTCTTAAACCTACTTATTTAGTCATAACCTTTCTCTGGACCTCCAGTTTAACATCTCTAATGGGCAGCTGTTGGGTATCTTGGAGTGGATGTCCAGTAGCTATCTTAAAACTCAACATGTTTAAAACTGATTTCATCTTTTCCCCTAAATCCTCCCCACTTTTGAACTTCCCTATTAATGTTGATGGTACCACTAACGCCTTAGTCACTCAGGCTCCCAACCTAGGTGTCATCCTTAGCTTCTCACTTACTCTCACCCTCGCATATCATTGATTTTGCCTTTCTAATGTCTTCTAATAGTTCCCCTTCTCTCATCTGACACTTCCTGGTACAGGCCCTCATCACCTCTTCCAGTTGGGCCCTTTGCCTCAAGTCTTTCCCCACTCCAGTCTATCCTCCATTCAGCTATCAAATTGATCTTCCTAAAGTACAGGTCTAACCGTGTTAACCATCCTATTCACTCAACTCCGGCGGCTTCCTATCACCATCAGGATCAAATATAAATCCTTTGGCATTCAAAGCCTTGAATAACCTGGTCCCCTCCTAAATTGTCAGACTTCTACCACCTCACATCTCATTCACAACCCTCCCAATTTGTGACATACAGTGTTGCTGGCTGTTCCTCACAAAAGATACTCCATCTCTGGATTAGTCCCACATGCCTGGGGTTATTTCTGTTCTACTCTCTGCCGATTGACTTCCCTGGCTTTCTTCAAGCCCCAGCTAAAATTCTACCTTTTACTGGAAGCCTTTCCTGATCCCTCTTAATGTTAGTGACTCTCCTCTGTTGATTACCTCCAATTCGTCCTGTATTTTGTTTTACGGGATGAAGTGTTTGCTGCATATACCTCCCTCATTAGAATGTGAGCTCCTAGAGGGTAGGGATTGTCTTTGCCTCTCTTTGTATCCTTAACACTCAACATAGTGTCTGGCATATAGTAAGTGCTTATTAAATGCTTAGTGACTGGCTGGATTTTTATGGCAATGAATGAATGAAAAAAGCACCCAAAAACAAAGACAGTCCTTGCTCTCAGGAGTTTATATCTGAGTGAGTGAGAGAACAAATCTTGGGCAGTGGTGGCCAGGGGAGAGAGATTTTTGATTTGGAAAATTATGAGGATGATGAGTAGACCCTTAGGGGAGTTGATTGACACACTCTTTTCGGGAGCAATGACAAAGGTGATTTGATTATGGTTCTAGAAGTGGATGATAGAGGGGGACAGTGGAAACTGGGTAGCTTCCTGAGACTGACTAACTTTTGTGTTACGGTTTTCCTGATTATCTTTCTGGTTGTTTTTCAGTACCTACAACCCTTTATTCTGCCATTCTTGTGGGCTTTCTGTAGGCTTCAGACTTTATTCTACATATGCAACACTTTCTGACTTGAAGGGTCTCTTCTGCCTTTTTAAGAACAGCATTGTGTGGTAAGTAGACTTTAATTTTTATTAAATAAATGAGAATGTTCAGAGAATCAGGGTGCTTTGTTGTAGGGAGTATATTAAACAGGGCCTCTTACTTACTCTTACAGGCTGTGTGACCCTGGGCAAGTCACTTAACCTCACCAAAAAACAAAACAAAACAAAAAAAACCTAAACAAAACAGGGCATGTGATGGTTAGTATGCCAAATAGTACTGAATACAGCTATTCTTTTAGTAAGGAAATCTTGGGATGTTTAAACAGAATAATTTCTAAATATTTTCCTTGACGGATATCCTCAGAAGAGATCTCTTGTTTTTAATAGTGCAAGAAAATGAGATAACATGTGCAATGCCTTATAAACCTTAAAGTACTACATAAGTGCTTGCTTTTATTATTATTAAAGACACCATTTCATTTTTTCTATATAATTAACTCCTATTTGAGCAAATTAGCTAGGTTCTAAAGTACCAAGTTTCACCGCATAATCGTCAAAGATTTTATGACAAATCTGTTCCAAAAAAGTGGGGTGTGACCATTATGTGAAGCTTTAAAAAGTTGTGCCAGTATTACTTAAAAATCATTTATTACTAAACTGTCTTCGGTGCAAGATGAGGATGCACAGAATACTCGTGAATATATGTTAAAATTGAATACTGACAATGCGGGTGGGCTGAGAATTCTAGGCTTTTGATGTGCGAGAGAGAAGTGTGTATCCATATGCCACTGGTGAATACATTGCTGCTCTGTTTACCTTTTAAGTGGTGTGACAAACAGAATTATACCATCCACCATGTGACAATTATGCAATGAAAGGGTATAAACCAATTTTTGGATTGAGGAAAAAACCCCACAGTGTGTGACAATTATGGAATAAAATTGGTATGGAATGGGGAGAAAATTCTAGCTTTATTTTGCTCAGTCCATTCTTTAGTGACATCTTGTTTTGTATCCAGTAAAAAAGAAAACACAAGATTTCTATAGTTTTTTTCCATCGGGGGCTCAAGATAATAAAATCTGGTGGTGTTACAGTCTGGAAACTTGATTAGCAGTTTCTAGTTTCTGCCATTATGAAATTTCTATTTAGAATTAAATGAAGCATTTAAAGAGTACTGGGATTGAGAGTCAGGAAAACTAGATTCTAATCTTGGCCCTTCTCCTAACTATAGGGGTATGACCTTTGGCAGGTCATTCTGTGGACCTCTGTAGTTTCTGTATCTATAAACTGACGGGGTTGGGTCAGATGGGCTTTTTAAAAAGCCTCTTGCACCTCTTAAATCCTCTGTGTCTCCTCTCTAGAAAACAGAAAATCAAGTGTGGTCTAATAGTATTAGAATTGACTTTTTTCTTTAAAGTTTGGAAAGCACTTTTCTCACAACCTTTTGAGGTAGGTAGTACAAGTGTTATTGTTGTCATTTTACAGATGAGGAAACAGACTGAATGGTTAGATGATTTGCCCCAGTCCCAAAATCAGAGTCTGAAGCAGGATCTAAATCCACATCTCTTGATTCCAAGTCCAGAATCAACTGCACCATGTTGCCTCTCGTAGAATATGTTCAATGCCAATAATGTGACTGATTTTCATAAAACTGAGTAGCTCCTCAGATCACTGTAGAAGCTGTCAAAATGCAGTAGGCAAGGTGTGGTGGAACATGACTGTAATATCTGCTCCTGAGGGTGCCTGATCTGGAGTTCTGAGTGTAGTCCTTTACAGGAGGGCTAATAATGGTTGAGTATCTAAACTCACCATCGATATAATGAACCTCCAGGAGCAGGAGACCAACAGGCTGCCCAAGGAGGGGTGAACCAATGCTGGTCAGAAACAGCAGGTCAGAATTTCATCCCAATCTGAGTGAGATGGAGAGACCCTGTCAAAAAAAAAAATATGGGCAGTAGCAACATGAGGGGAAAAAAATTAAAAACCAACCCTTCTCCACTCACCTCCCCCAACAACCATCATAAAAAAAAACCAAATGAGAGTACATTTTCACATTTCTACCAGCCTTTATGTAGAGGATTCATGGTACGCTGTAATCCAGTCAATTTATGATTGTGCCTTAGGGCTTACTTTCTTACATCTAGTGCCCTTACTGGATAGGGTTGGGGTTGGCTACAGAGTAGTTATTAAGCAATAATAATAATATTCTATTACTACTGTTTCATATTTCCCTATATAATATTTTAAATTACATCTCTTCATTAGAATAGTTTAAAGGTAATTGTAATTTCTTCTAAAACCACTAATTTAGTAGGTATGTTGTCATTAACATTGCTTCAGTTACAATTTCTAAATAGCTATTTATAATTTTTAGAGACAAGCAAAAGCTAAACTGAAGGACAAGAATTAGACAAGTTACTTTGTAAAATGAAAGAGTTATTCAAAATGTTCTGACTCTTTAGTTTTAAATCTGATAGACCCCTGAACCTGCATTTTTATGGTGCTTTTAAGGTTTACAAAACAAAAACTCTGCAGTAGGTATTACATATATAATCCTTTACATTTGAAGAAACTGAGTCTCAGGGTAAATGACTTGTCTAGGTCATATAGTAAATTGGTGTCCAGATCATGATTGAACCCAGGCCTCCTCTCAGAGACCAGTGCTCTTTTTCTACGACATGCTGCTTCTCAGTGAAGGAAAGATACTTTGTAATTTTTGTCTAAGAACATAACCCTTAGGTAAATTTACGCGTAAGTTCCTATTTTAGTGAATTGTTTGAAACTGCAAAAGCATTTTTCCATATAGTGTTATAGTGACAAGGTTTCCACTTTGGCCTACTTAAGCCATAATATACTTGAATTATGGTATTGTAGTTATTGTACCGTACAACCTAATCACCATGTTTAGCAGTGTTTCTATTGGAAATAGCTTTCAGAGATGCCAGAAATATATCTTCCTCCTAACCACTGTAGGGATTTGGGAACAAGGACACCTTCTCCCCAACTCAGTCTTAACTTATTTGGTATCAGTAGACACTACATACTTTAGGACCAGGAATACCTACATTGAGGGGAAGCTGTTAAGAGCAAGGGGAGAGAGGGGCAGCATCGTGGGAGCTGGTAGTAAGGAACAAGACTGACCATTTGCCTGGTGCCACTAATTGGGCCTGGGTTTCTTTTATTTAATTTTTTAGTGGTCGGTGCAGTCTCATTAATTTTTTTTTCTGGAATATTCAATGTTATTTTTTTTCTCTCTTTTTTTTAAAATTTATTTTTAGTTTTCAACATTCACTTCCACAAGATTTTGAGTTCCAAATTTTCTCATCTCTCCCCTCCCCCCATCCCAAGACAGTGTGGATTCTGAATATTCCTTCCCCCAATCTGCCCTCCCTTCTATCACCCCCCTCCCCCTTTCTCTTATCCTTTTCCCCTTCTATTTGCCTGTAGGGCAAGATAGATTTCTATACCCCATTGCCTGTATATCTTATTCCCAGTTGCATGTAAAAACAATTTTTAACATTTGTTTTTAAAACTTTGAGTTCCAAATTCTCTCCCTTCCTCCCTCCCCACCTATCCTCATTGAGAAGGCAAGTCAATATAGGTTATATATGTGTAGTCATGCAAAACACTTCCATAGTAGTCATGTTGTAAAATACTAACTATAATTCCCTCCATCCTGTTCTGCTCTCCCGTTTATTCTATTGTCTCCTTTGACCTTGTCCTTCCTCTAAAGTGTTTGCTTCTGATTACCCCTTCCCCCAATCTGCCCTCCCTTCTATCATCCCCACCTTCCCTCTCTTATCCCCTTTCCTCCTATTTTCCTGTAAGGTAAGATAGATTTCTGTACCCAATTGAGTGTTTATGTTATTCACTCCTTAAGCCAAATCTGATGAGGTTAAGATTCACTCATTCCATCTCGCCTCCCGATTCTTCCCCTCCACTGTAAAAGCTTTTTCTTGCTTCTTTTATGTGAGCTAATTTACTCCATTCTATCTCTCCCTTTCTTTTCATCCCAGTACAATTCTCTCTCTCACCCCTTAATTTAATTTTTTATATATCATCCCTTCATATTTAACTCACCCTGTGCCCTCTGTCTATATATAATCCCTCCAGCTACCCTAATACTAAGAAAGGTCTCATGAGTTACAAATATCATGTTTCCATGTAGGAATGTAAACAGTTCAACTTTAATAAGTCTCTCATGATTACTCTTTCCTGTTTACCTTTTCTTGCTTCTCTTCAGTCTTGTATTTGAAAGTCAGATTTTCTATTCAGCCCTGGTCTTTTCATCAAGAATGCTTGAAAGTCCTCTGTTTCATTGACTGTCCATTTTTCCCCCTGAAAGATTATACTCAGTTTCTGGGTTTCTTTTCTTTAGAAGATCCTGGGGATTACCCATACCTGATTCTCTTTTCACTACTGCCACATTTTTATTTCCCACTGTGTTTCACTATTCCATTATCTGTTGCATAACTGGAATTTTTGTTTATACTCACTGTGACCTCAAGTCTCTCCACCACCCTCTGTTCTCTTACTTATGCTGGTCAGTAACAATGTAGGATTTGCTCCATAGAAATTGGTTTTGTAGGCAGTGTTGTTGGAATATACTCTGTTAAGTGAAGGAAACTAATACTAATGACCTGTCTGTGTTCTTACAGCTACCTTTTAAAAACAAAATCTATAGTAAATGCATCTGAGATGGAATTTCCTACTAAGCATCTAAATGCTCAAATTTCAAAGGTAAACTTTCATTTTATTGTGTTTTCTTTTTTAAATATCCTCTTGATGATTTTCACTAATAGAAATGGATCTCAGGTGGATAGATTGGAATTTTTAAAACATTAAGTGCCAACTATTTCTCTAGGACTTCTGAGAGCTGGAGATACAAAATCAAAAATAAAACAATCATCGAACCGTTGTTCTCTCCAGGGGATACAGCATCTGCACGTACACATAAATATAAGATTCAGGGAAGGTTTCAAGTACATGGTGCTGGCCCTTGGCTTGAAGAAAACTAGGGACTCTTGGCGGCTTAGATAAGAAGTGCACTTCATGCGTAGTGGACAGTCTATCTAAAGAAATAAAAAGGTAGGAGATGGAATATTGAGTTCAAGAAGGTACTAACAAACTAGCTTGGCCAGAACATAGATTGTATGAGGGGTGGGAGGTGCGGCAGGGAGTACAATGAAATATTTGAAAAGTTAGGGCAAGTCTATTTTTGGAGAGGGCTGGGTATCAAGTTCCTGGTTGAGGAGGTTGTATTTTGTCCTAGAAGAAACTAAAGGTTTTTTTTGACAAGGGAATAATATGAACAAGACCTTTGTGTTAGAAATATTAATTTGGCAGCCTTGTGGAGGATGGATTGGAGAGGGGAAAGAATATTAGCAGGGACACGCTATTTATGCCATTTTTATGAGAGGTGATGAAAGCCTGAACTTGTGCATTGGCTATGTGGATACGGAGAAAGTGATGGATGCAAGAGATATTGTGGCAGTAGAAGAAACACTTGTCAGATGATTGACTATTGAGGGTGAGGAGTGGGGAAGAATAAAGGATGACCAGGAAGATGGTGACGTCTTCAATTTTAACAGGGAAATTTGGAGGAGGGATATATTGAGGGAAGAAAATAAGTTCCATTTTGGACATGTTGAGTTTTAGTTGCTGATGGAAAATCCAGGTGGAGCTGTTTGGTAAGCAGTTGATGATATGGGACTGGAGAGAGATTAATGCTTTATTTTATTTATATTATTTATTTTACTTTTAATTAATTTATAATGATTTATAACTTCGGGAATTATTTGCATAGAGATGATCCTTGAACTCAGGGGAGCAGATCACTAGGAAGAGATCAGGGCTCCATACAGAGTTATGGAAGGCATTCCGACTCAACAGACAAGAGATGGATGTGTAATTCATCAAAAGAGACTAAGATGGAGCAGCCAAATGCATAGAAGAACTAGGAGAGACAGTTATCACAGAAGCGAGGTAGGAAGAGTATCCAGTAAAAAGAGGTATGGTAAATAAGCATCAAAAACTGGAGAGAGGTCGAGAAGATTGAGGCTGGGAAAGGGGCATTAGTTTTAGTAATCACATGGTCGTAGGTATATAATTGAAGTGGTCAACCAAGAATGTGTTTGGGGAAAAAAAGTAAGACTGTAGCAGGAGCCTGTAGAACAGGGGAGGGGTGCAGGGACTTGAAGTGACAGTGAGGATAAAGAAGAGGAGTGGGCAGACAAAGAGATTGAAGGGATAGGAAGCTGTGGTCAGAGAGAAGAAAGGCAGAATTCAAGATCCTGGAGATAACCCCAGTAAAGGGTGATGATAAGATCGAAGATAAGACTTTTCCTGTGGGGGGCAGAGATGCAGAGGGAGTAATGATGTAGGTTATGGGAGGAGGGGTAAAATGGGGAGCCCGGGGCACTTTTTAGGAGACACCAGCATGTTTGCTGAAGACCTCATTGGGATGAAGAGGAAGTTGGTGAGCCAGGTCTAGACTTCTTGAGAAAGAAGGAGAATTGATATGGAAACCAGAACATGACTGCCTCAAGAATTTGGATCCCAATGGAAGCCAAAGGAACAGTTGTTTCATGATGGTGTCGGAGGGAAAGTCTGAAAGTGGCTATGAGAATAGATTTTGGCTAACTGAAAGAAATGAAATGAAATAAAAAAATAAATGGAGCCATGAGAAACCCAGAAGTATAGCCAGGGTGTTGAGGAACATGAAAGAATAAGCCTGGAGAGGCCAGCTGTTGGAGGGGAAGCCAGCCTTCTCTGAATACGGTAGAAGGAAGGAGAGGGAAAGGAGGAGATCCAAGGTGGAGGGGAGGTGAATGATGGGGAGAGGACACAATGGAAGGAAAGCTCAGAAAAGGAGGGCTGAATGGATAGGGAGGGGACTTGGGCAGACTGTGACTCTGCCTGGCAAACTCCGACCCTTGCTTCCCTTACCCATTCCGAGTTTGGGAGATGAGCCGGTTGAGGGGGAAGAAGAGACCCCTGCCCTCTGGAGTTCTGTGATGAGCAGAGTATCGTGAAGGGCAGAGGGCTAAACGCCTCCATGCCTGTGCTGAGGCAGCTGTGGAGGCAGCGGGGAATAGTAAGGACGCGGCGTTTGGGTTCTCTGGGCTGAGCTTGGATCTTTTAAGCAGGGAATTGGGCACACCTGGATGTTACCCTTCAAACTGAGCTAACACTTAGGTCGTGGTCTCCGAATTCTGAGAAGTGTAGGGCTACCTACTTAGTACCTCTGGTACCCTGGAACTCAGCATTTCTGGTAGATGGGAGTCCCACAGGGCACAAGCCCTTCCTCTGTACCCTAGCAAGATTTCGTACAGTTCTGAGAGCTCTGCAGCGGCAGATGATGACTGATGTTTGTGTCACTAGAAACTAGACCAAATACGTACTTGTTTCCTTCTCTATAGCCTCTTCTCAAGATGAGGAGCTGAATGTGGATCAGGTACTTAGCTCCCAGTCTTTGAGTCCCCAAGAGCCTCTGGCTTCCCGAGGTCCAGTGTCTCCGATGGCTGTGTCTCCACTGATAACCCATAATCCTTTATATTTGGCTTTGGAATACATTTTTGAACTTTTGTTGGAATATGGGTTCATCTGACAAGGCTAGAAATTTGTACTTCAGCAAACAGTCCAATAAAACCCCATTGTATATCCTTTTTCTTTCTATGCTTAGGAAAAAGTCTCCTTATATTTGAAATTGAAGGACCATGAGTTTATAAATTTTAAGCCCTCTATTCTGAATTCACCTCTCTGCTTATCTGGATTATACAGGCTTAAAATACATGTATCTATCTGGAAATAGGTCTTGCCTAAGTTTGGAGATTCTTTAGAACTTTTAAAAAAATTCTGTTGGCTGTTTTGGAGTTAATTTGAATTCTTTATTACCTCTGATAAATATACTAAACAATGAAACATATTAGTATTTGTGAGACATTAAGGCTTTGATGATTTTGAAAAATAGTAGTAACTAGTACTTATTAAAATAAGGGGAAAAAAATTCTAATGTCCAGTGATTGGGAAATGGTTGAATAAACTGTCGTATGTCAGTGGAATGGAATGTTGTTGCACTATTAATGACAGAATTGCATCTTACAATAAATAGGTTAAGACTTAGGAAATGATATAGAGAAAATATCCATTTGGAAGGACATAATAAAAATAAGATTGTGCAACATATATTGCTGTCTCTATTCTTTATTGCTCCTAAATTATTCCATATTAACCTGGAGATTCTGTTTAATTTTCCTTTTGCTCTTGAGTGTTTTCTGGAGGGTTTTCAATTTTATAATAAAAACAAAAACAGTGTAAACCTTGATATGGTTTCCATGATCCCAGAAATGGATCTAATATACAACTTAAGTCTTGGAAGAATATTGCCAGTGACCTAGCTTAAATGTAAAGACGCTCTTTTATCACCAGAGAGTTTAATATATGCTGAATTTTTTGGATTACTGTTTGCTTCCTAGCTGAAAGAGAAGATTATGATGATGGACTCTAACTTAACAACAATAATTGAGGACCTGAAGACGGTTATCCATGGACCATTGGATGTAGAGCTAGATTAACATTTGAATCAGAAACAAACCTTTAAGAGTAGGTTTATCTTGTACTGTGATCTCAGGAAGTATCTAATGATGTCTGTGTACCCTCTCTAGACTTTGGTTGATTTCTGACTGGCAAATTCCTACCCCTAAGTTTTCCTTCTCTTCTGGTTAACCAGATGTATTGATAAATTGCAACTGGAAAGTAAAAGGAGGTAAGGAGAAAGCTTTGAAAAACCAGGAATGTACATCAAGATTCAAGTTTCATAAAGTAATTCGTTTTTAAGAACATTTTTTACCAAGTAAGCTTATTGAGACTTTCCTTCAATGTTGACCATTTTGTGGTGCTTCAGAATTCAGTTATGTTAAAAAAAAGTTTTTTTTCAGCTTGTCAGTGTCAATATAGTACCTTTTAAAAAAAAAAGAAAATAATATTTATGACTATAAATTTAAAGGTTATTAGTAATTATGGTGGGCTGTATGTGCCTCAAACTCAAGATTGTCTTCCAAATGTGTCTCTTGTTTGAAGTATCAATTCAAAGTGAACAGGATATTAATTTCATTTTAAACCTGTACAAAGCAATTGTTTATATAAATATTGCTGAAATTTCAATACACTGTATTTTTGCAGCTTCTTGTTTGTCTTTCTTATTTTTCTTACCTATGAATCTCTACTTATTTTTTTAAATAATAAGCTATTAAAAGAACTTGGAGAAAATTGTGATGTGCTGTGTATTTATTATTACAAAGGAATTTCTAGTTTAATATTTTTGCTAGTCAATAAACATTTATTAAATACCTCATATGTGCCAGGCACTGTGCTAACTTCTGGGGTGCAAAGAATGGCAGAAATAGTTTCTGCTCTCAAGAAGCTCACAGTCTAATGTGGGAGACAACATGCAAATATACAAACAAGATGTATACAGGATAAATTGGAAATAATCAGTAGAGGAAAGGCACTAGAATTAGGAGGGATGGGGAAAGGCTTCCTATAGAGGGTGAGATCTTACCTGGAACTTGAAGGCAGAGAAGCCAAGAGGGAGAACATTCCAGGTGTGGGGGATAGCCGATGAAAATGCCTTGGATAAAGGCAGAGATAACATGACGGTTTTATCTTCTCTAAATTTTATTAATAAGTAAGACAAGGCAGAATCAGGATGCAAAAAGATCTTGATAAATTATAACATTTGGCTGAATGTAGTAAGATGAAGTTTAATAGGAGTAGATGTAAAGTCTTAGACTTGTGTTCAAATAAATGCCTTCACAAACAAGATGGGGATGGTTAATCTGAAAACAATTGTATGGGTTTTAATTTCATTCAACTAACATTAAGTGCATATGTTGTGCAAGACATTATAAATACTGAGTGCTGAGCATACAAATATAAATATATCATCCCTGCCCTCAAGGAACTTATGTATTGCTGGGAGATATAACATCTTCAAAGAAGTTAGAAGAGAAAAAGAAAATGGTATCAGGGAAAGCTTCACACAGGAGGCAGCACTTGAGCTAAAACATTATAGAAAGGCAGAGATAAGAAGGGAAAGCATTCCAAGTGTGGAGGGAGTAGCATGTCATAAGGCTAGAAAAATAGATGGGAGCCCCATTGTGGAGGGTTTTCAATGCCAGACAAAGGTTAGCATCTGTATTTTTCCAGCAGGACAATAATGTTGCTTTATAATACAAGCTCAGCATGAGTAAACAATGCAATATGAATAGTCTCAAAAGCTAAGTGATCTTTGCCTTCATTGAGAGACACGGTATCCAGGACTAGGGAAATAGTCCCACTTCACCCTGTCCAGACCACACCTGCAGGATCATATTTAGTTTTTAAATTTTATTTTGATCTTTATTGTTAATTTATTGTTTTTAAGTTCCAAATTCTCTCTCTCCCAGAAGGCAAGAAATAACCACTATACATAGGACAAAACATTTCCACATCAGCCACGTGGCAAAAAAAATTAAATGCTTCAGTCTTTCATTCTCTGAAGGTAGATAGCATTTTTCATCATGAGTCTTGGAATTGTTTTGGATTATTGTATTAATCAGAATTGCTAAGTCTTCCACAGTTGATCATTGTTACAATATTGCTGTTAACTGTGTACAATATTCTAATACTTTGCATTAGCTCATATAAATCTTCCCAGGTTTATCTGAAAGTATACCCTTCACTTTTTTTTTTTTTGGCTAGCTAAGGGTTAAGTGACTTGTCTAGGGTCACACAGCTAGTAAGTGTCAAGTGTCTGAGGCCAGATTTGAACTCAACCTCCCGACTCCACGGCCCGTGTTGTATCCACTGCACCACCTAGTTGCCCCCGCTTCATTTCTTTTAGCACAATAATATTCCATCACATTCATGTACCATAACTTGTTCAGCCATTTCCCAATTGATGGGCATCTCCTCAAGTGTCCAATTCTTTGCCACCACAGAAGGAGCTGTTATAAATATTTTTGTAAATGTAGGTCCTTTATCTTTTTCTTTGATCTCCTTGGCTTATAGTCCTTACAGAGGTATTGCTGAGTCAAAGGGTATGCAGAGTTTTATCATCTTTTGAGTGTAGTTCCCAATTGTTCTCCAGAATGACTGGACCGATTTACAGCTCCATCAACAGTGCAATAGTGTACCTATTTCTGAGGAAAAATCCCTTCCAACATTTGTCATCTTTTTCTGTCATGTTAACTAATATGATGGGTATGACAACCTCAGAGTTATTTTAACATGCATTTCTCTAATTAGTTGTTATTTAGAACATTTTTTCATGACTTGATAGCTTTGGTTTCTTCTGAAAATTGCCTGTTCCTATCCTTTGATAAATTGGGGAATGCCTCTTATCTTTATAAATTTGGTTCAGTTCCATTTATATTTGAGAATTGAAACCTTTATCAGAGAAACTTTTTGTAAACTTCCCCCCATTTCCTGATTTCCTTCTAATTTTGGCTGCATGTTTTGTGCAAAACTTTTTTTAATATAATCAAAATTATCCATTTTATGATTGTTTAGGTTTTTTTTTTTTTGGCTTGGCAATCAGGGTTAAGTGACTTGCCTAGGGTCACACAGCTATTAAGTGTTGCGTGTCTGGGACCAGATTTGAACTCGGGTCTTCCTGACTCCCATGGCCAAAGTTCTATCCACTGCCCCACCTGACTGTGTTTAGTTTTGAGAAACACACTGGTGAATTTTGATGTCTAGAGGAGGGTTACCATGATGGGGAAGGATCTTGATATGGCTGTACCAGGATCAGCTGAAGAAACTAGGGTTCCATAACCTTGAGAAAAGAAGACTTTGTGGAGACACGAGTTATCTTGTGGAGATTAGATCTGTTCTTGGGCATAGGGCAGAATTGAGAAGAATGGGTTTGTAGAGAAGCAGTTGATAAAAAGAAAAAATTCAGTCCTAGAGTGAAACGGTCTGCCTTGGGATATAGTCTCCCCTTCCTGCCCCCAAAATCTTCAATCAAAGTTGGATGACCACTACATCCAACCCATACTACAGGGAATCCCTTCTATCACATCCTTAAGACAGCATTCCCGGCCCTCCTTTCACTGAAAAACTGATGAAAGATGAGACTCCTGCCCCCACTAACCTTAACTCATTCTCCCTCTGCCCCCTACCCAAGTATATTTAAATGGATTTTGTTCATAACGCCCTTCTGTTTACTACAATATATTATGTTCCCATTTTATTTTTTCTGATGATTCTGATGACATTATCAACTACTAATTGTTTCATTAAAATATAGCCTTTTATGTTCCAAGTGGTGTGTCATTGTGAAAAGAGCATTGGCTTTGAAATCAGAAGACCTGGCACTAGGCTCTGCTCCTTTAGCCATAAAGTGGAGAGAGTGACTTTACCATCTACCTTACAGGACTATTGTGAACAAAGTGCTTTATAGGGGGCAGCAAGGTGGCGCAGTGGATAGAGCACCGGTGCTGAAGTCACGAGGACCTGAGTTCAAATTAGGCCTCAGACCAAACACTTGACACTTACTAGCTGTGTGACCCTGGGCAAGTCACTTAACCCCAATTGCCTAAAAAAAAAAAAGTGCTTTACTAATTTTACAATACTATGTGAATGTGAGCTGTTCATATAGGTGGTATTGTCAAGTCAGTCAACAAGTATTTCTTAAGTGCCTACTATGTGCCAGGCACATTCTGGAGTTACAGAGAATGGTAAAAACATGGTCCCTGCCTTCAGGCTTACATTCTAATGGGAGACACAACATACAATGTATATACAAGATATATACAATGTAAATGGTAGGAAATCTCAGAGGGAAGGTACTAGCCATGGGAGTGAGGTGGGGTGGGGGGTGGGGAACCAAGAAAAGCTTCGAAGGTAGGATGTAAGCTTAGTCTTTTTTTTTTTTAAGATCTATTAAACTATAAAAATCTATTAAACCCCAATTTTTTAAGATCTATTAAACATCTATTAAACCCCAATTATATTCAAGGCACTGTGATGGGTATTGAAGATACAAGGATGAAAAATGAAGATATACTCTCAAGGAGCTTACAATCTAATAGTTAATGAGAAAACAAGTTCAATAATCAGAATTTCACTGTCTAGTAATTTTTTTCAGGCACATAACTATTCTGTAAATTGAGAGATAGCTATATTTTCTCTTTCTTTTATTATGCTTAATGATCTTAACAAATAACTTTACAAATTGGTTTTTTTTTTTTTTTGGCTTAGGCAATTGGGGTTAAGGCCCAGGGTCACACAGCTAGTTAAGTGTCAAGTGTTTGGTCTGAGGCCGGATTTGAACTCAGGTCCTCCTTACTTCAGGGCCGGTGCTCTATCCACTGCACCACCTAGCTGCCCCTGTTAGTTTTTTTTTAAATAAATATTTATTTTTAGTTTTTGAGTTCCAAATTTTCTCCCCATCTCTCCCCTCCCTCCTCTCCAAGATGGTGTGTAAATTGATATAGGCTCAACATATACATTCCTATTAACATATTTTCACATTAGTCATGTTGTGAAGAAGAATTAGAACCAATGGGAGAAACCATGAGAAAGAACAAAAAAAGAGAGCAAATAGTATTCTTCCACCTGCATTCAGACACCATAGTTCTTTTTCTAGATGTGCACAGCATTTTCCATTATGAATCTTTTGGAGTTGTCTTAGATCCTTGCATTGCTAAGAAGAGATCAGTCTATCAAACTTAGTCATCGCATAATGTGACTATTACTATGTACAACATCTCCTGGTTCTGCTCACTTCACTCAGCACCAGTTCACCTAAGTCTTTCCAGGTTTTTCTGAAGTCTGCCTGCTCATCATTTGTTACAGCATAATAGTATTCCATTATATTCATATATCACAGCTTGTTCAGCCATTCCCCAACTGATGGGCATCCCCTCAATTTCCAATTCTTTGCCACCACAAAAAGAGCTGCTATAAATATATTTTTGTACACATGGGTCCTTTTCCCATTTGTATGATCTCTTTGGGATACAGACCTAGAAGTGGTATTGCTGGGTTAAAGGGTTGAACTTACGTTTCGATAGAAGCCAGGGAACACCACAGGCAGAGGTAAGAAGGAAGAGCGTTCTCAGCTTCCGGGACAGGCATAGTCAAGTGGGATGGAGTGTCATGTTCAAGGAGTAACAAGGTCTGAACAAGTGGATTGGAGAGTAAAGTATAAGATAAAAAAGGTAGAGGGGTTGTGAAGTGCTTTAAAAGCCAAACATCATGAGGTATTTGATCCTAGTGGTGACAGGGAGCCGCTGGAGTTCATTAGGTAGGGGGGTGAGTCAGACCTGCGCTTTAGGAAAATTATTTTGGCCCCTGAGCAGGTGATAGACTGGAGCAGGAAGAGACATACAAGGGGACCAAGAAGGCTACTGCTTTAGTCCAGGGATGAGGAAGGCCTATACCAATCTCCTGGCTGAGTGGAAATGGACATATAGGAGAGAGATTGTGAAGTTGAAAATGACATGTTCAACAAGGGAAGGGCTTAAGCATTTATAGGATATTTACTATATACCAGGCACCATAAGCGCTTTACAAATATTCTCACTTAATCCTCACCAACAACCCCGTGAGGTAAGCGCTTTTATCCCCTTCTTTAAAGATGAGGAAACTGAAGCAGAGACTTGCCCAGGTCAGGCAGCTGGTCACACAGTACCTGAGGCCGTATTTGAACTTGAGTTTTCGAGTCTAGGTCCCAGAGCTCTATCCACTGTGCTACCACCTAGCTTCATCAACAGATTGGATATGTAGCTGGAAGCAAGTCAGCCAGAGATGGGGAAGCTTGGATATCAAGGATGGTAGAATCCTTGACTGCAACGGGGAAGTCTAAAGAGTGGAATTATGCGGGAGGGAAGAAGAGATAAGGTCTGTTTGTAAATATATTCCATTCTTTGAGTCATCTTATCCCTTTCTTCTGACTCTTCCATTTTCCAAAGCTCCCACCTCACCTTTTCACAATCATATGTAGAACTACTGCAGGTACCCATTCTGAGTAACAAATGACACAGAGTCAAGTTTCAGTGCGTTCTCAGCCCATGCTGCTTTATTGCTAAAAACCAAAAACAAACCCCAAAAGTTTTATACATAGTTGCAGAGTTTCCAACTTAGGTTTTTAAAAAGTTGCTCTTTACACCATCAAAAGAATAAAATCTCTCATTCAAACCCTAAAGATGCATAGATATAACAGCAAGCTGCCTTTTCCAAAATTTCAGGTATGAAATTCTAACAATATTAACTTATAAAATAGAATAACTGCAATGGAGTAGAGAGATTACATTACAGTGCTGCATGTGCATACATTAAGTAAACAATCTTTCCTGCACTAAAGACAACATAAGAGTATGTGAAGTGAGCTCTTCAGCATTGGGCCTTTCTAATCTAATGCCAAATTATTTATTTTACATAGAAGAGTCAAACAATTTAAAAGCAGCTTCAGGAATAGTACAGTTACTTAGGATGGAAGATTACCATGCACGGCTCCAGTTTCTTTTCATTTATTTTGGATATTTCTCCCCACCGCTGGAAAAAAACAAAACAACCCAACATCTCAACAATGGCGCAGCACATATAAGCCTTTGTTTTCCAGGGAGATCTCATTTAGAAGAAAGGCCTTCTGTTTATGAGCTTTTGCTTTTAAAGAGTATTTCTAAAAGTTTAAGAGTTTCTTGATAAATTTTAAGATAAAAGAAGTAGGTTAATGAAGGTTGATGGTTACTGTATTCTTAAGCCAAAATCAATAAACATTTAATTTTCCAACTTGATTTCACAGATATTCTATCAATAAGTGGCTAAGAGAAAAACTGTAAAGAGGCTTGGTAAAGCTTTATTTTCCCAATAGGTACTGGGAATAAACTTGCTAAATATGAACTGAGCAGTTCAATTCTGAACCATTTGAAGGTTACTTTTATCCTTTAACTTGGAAGATGGAGTTTTCCCAACAATGTCAAGGTAAGCCCTAAAGTGAGGTTATGCTAATTTAAGAGGTAAAACCTTTGTGGGAAGAATTATAAGTTTATTGTCACCTCTTTGGCTTTCAGTAGATGATTCTTGTCTTGTTTGCTATTATCACATATACTTCTAGGGGTTACACCAAAAGCCCCAGAAGAATCTTTATTTCCCAACATTCTGAAGTGTTAAAATTGAAGAGCATCTAATTTTTTTCTCCCTACATAAAGAAGTTAGTGGAAAATCTATTTAATGAAATGAAGATGTATAAACTCACCTTGAAGGGCAAGAGTACTTTACGGAGCTTAATTGGACTGACTGATCAGACCATTAAGGGTAAATAATTTTGTGTCTCTGGCTCTAAAAATCTATTTCAAGTCACATATATTAAAAAATGCATCAACATAACTAAAGAGAAATAACATCACAGATACAACAATATTTTCAGGTCAATTCCTGCAAAGTGGAAGTCTCCTTTGCTGCAGGGAGCCATTATTGCTGGTTGACACCAGTACAATTCAGTACAGCTGCCTAAGTGGCTAAAATTACCTAAAAATACTGTATTAAAAAGCTACTGAACACCTGAAATGTGTGCACTGTGCTTATTGATTTTATTCACCTCCAAAGGACTAGTTTTACTGGGCTTACACTCAGGCCACTTTTGCCGTGTTTAACAGACCCAGTTATTACTTTCTATAGTACAGTTGGGCCTCACTTACCCTTACTCTTTCTGAAACTCTGCACCTTTCTGATTGCTACAGTTGAGGCAACTAAGAAATCATTCATTGACACAACATGCTTCTTAGTGCGTGCCCTGTTATTTTAAAAAAACATGCTTAGGGGACTAATATAAATCAGGTAAGAGGTTAAAAAGAAAGGTGAGTTCTGCTACTCCCTCTTCCAAACAGCCCAAGTGTCATGCTGCTGTCCCTGTTTTCTTATCTAACCTCCCTTTATTGATGGAGGCAAACCATCTTTTTAAGAGAAACAAGAACTGAGGTTTCAAGCAGTAAATTCAAGCTATTCATTTAACAGTTACTATTGCTTTGTTATATATAAACGCATATATCAGTTTTCTAGTAATTATATGACACTAGACATTTTCAATCATGCATAATTAGGACTCTAGCTCTACAGGACTAGGATTGTGGGCTTTGTGCTATTATTGTTTATATGATCAGCATGCATTTTTACCTAAGGCCTCTTAATCAGACCCAAGTTCATGCAAAACAAAACCTCTTGATTCAGAGGGATTATGGGGCTTAGCTAGGGTACATGCAATTTATTTTCACTGAAATATTGCAACTGAAAGACAGAAAACCTGGAAACTTTTAGAAAAAAGATATGACTATTTTAATTAAGTTCTCCATATGTCTATTCCTATGATGTTTTTGAATGGAAGTACAAAACCAGCAAATAAAAAGGTAAAATTTAGGATCATTTCACACTGGTACAGGGGAGACTGGTATGCAAATCTATTCTGTTAAGGGTGGGAATGATATAGTAGCAGAAATAAGAGCCATTATTAAGAAAAGGAAATATTCAGCCTTATTTATTATGGATTTTTCTGGCCAACTTTGTGACGGGTACACCATGAAAAGACAAAGGTGGTATGTTGTGGAGGCCCTATTGAGTCGAGTGGTTTCTTTTACTAACACTAAAGAAAATTACCTATACATCACTCCTTACCCTCTCACCCCACACATACCCTGGAAAAATTTATTAATAGCATAGCTAGTACAATGTAAATTAGTTAAATCTACAATGCCTTAAAATTTGGTGTTGCCCTCCTTCTAAAAACTGTTGTGACAAGTGATCCTTTGGGCCAAGATTATTCTGACAGCCAAGCATGTTCTAAACAAACTAGAGGCCATTTGCCTTTACCAGCAGCACCAAGAGAACGTAAACTCCTCAAGGGCAAAGATCCCACCCTATTTTGCATAGTGCCTAGCATATTGTAAGTGCACACTTCATATTTAATAAGAGCTCATCCATCAGTGTGAAACCTACACAAAAAGATGATGCCTACAACCTTGCATATAATAAGCTTATCTGGATACCATCCATGCACTGGGTACGTCAATTTTAGCATTTAGATCTATATTTAATGTGGCTGTTCTACAAAGTCCTTTATATAGCATAAATGTACACCTGTGACCAAGCCAGATATCTCAAAATTACTTGGCTATTCCAATGTGTCTAATGGTGACACTGTGGTACACACTGAAGAAAGACCAAAAGGAACCTAATACAGTGCATTCCCTTTTGTGAGTTGAGGGACGGTTGGTTATTCTATAAACACAGTTTTCTTATCTTCTAGGATCACCAAATAAGTGTATTATGTTCAAAGGCATGACTTTCTTGGCTCTGCCCCATCTACCTTGTATTTTTTCTCCTGGGTTCACATATAGGCATATAATTGAACATCATGAACCAAGGGAATTTACGACTAGTTTATGCAGAGATGTACTTATTTTCCAGGCACTAGACGACCAAAATGAATTATCCACATGTACAAGTGGTATGAGATAACGGAAAAATTGTCTCGGTCCCCACTGCTCTGTCTTGGCTCCTAAACTGGGACAGTGTGCCAACTACAATTAGGAGGTGGAATGGTTTTCTATATTGGAGGATAAAGCTGTCAAAGGCCATGGCTCCGGCCACTCCTCCATTGAAAATATGGTCAAAAACAAAAAAAGAGAAATTCACATACATAAAGTCTTTCTCAGAAGTGTTACCAAGAGCTTTCTTAACCACGAATAGAGAAAATGCAAACACTACGTTTAAGCTTTTTTCTTAATCCTAAAAAAAGAATGAATTTAGGAAACAAGAGGAGAAAGAAAAAAAAAATCTGTTATGGAGGAGCTGCCCTCAAAGTAAAGTCTCAAATAGAAAATCTACTTGGAATGCATTGGTGAGACTCCAATCTGCCTCCCAGAAAGAGTTCACTTCAACAGCTCCCTCCTGCTACCTGGGAAAACAAATGGGGCTTTCAGCCTCACATATCGAAATGTCTCTCTCCCTCTATCCAAAACACACACACACACACACACACACACACACACACACACACACACCCCTCTTCTCAAAGGAAGGAAAAGAGCATCTTTTATGTGTATCATCTACCTAAAACAGTTTCCTTTCATACAGCTCTGTCAAGGACTGAGCACCACGCACCACAAACTTGAGTGGTAACTTAACTTTACTATACAGGTTTGCTAATTCAAGTTAGTTACTACTACATGCAAAACAGTTATTGCTACTAAAGTTTTGTCCTTTAAAAATTATTAAATCATTTTATGGCTTTGTTGCATCAGGGGCATTCCCCCTGCATACTGTGCTATTTTGCATTCCTGTTTCAGAGGTATTTTTTTTTTTTAGAAGCGGATTCTCCTAAGCACTGTACTACTTGAATCAAAGGTATAACTACTTGAGTCTAGACTAATAGAACCTGAACCTGGTCCCTAGAGAACTGCTACAGAAGGGCCTCCTACTTACTCCAAGCTGTTTGCTCATGCAGCGTCGTGTGCTCTCACATTACTTACTATTTGCAGAGTCCGTGTTTTATAAAACCTGGATTATCTGAGTCTTGGACCCTCAAATCACTTCAGAAAAACCACCTTGTCCAATTCCTCAAGGACGCCATTTACAGACAGGAATTGCTTTACCAGAGAAAGATGAACTATCCTGTGAGTGACAAAACTGTTTACTTCTTCTGGGAAGGCAGGGAAAAGGGGACATGTACAAGTCTGAAAGATACAGCTTTAAAATGCATACCGCCAACAAAAGCAAATGCTTTCTTTTATTTCTCACTAATGTAGCAACCTATCAAGGTTCTATCTACCTAGACACCCAATTCTCAAAATATAAATCAAGCAAAAGAGATAGCAAGAAAACCACATTAAAAAACCAAACCAAACCCCACAGATGATTAAGAAGTGGGGATAGCCTTAAACAAATACTCTGACTCTCTCTAACATTTACAAGGGTTTCTTGACACAACGCAGAGACAGTGACCTGCAGACAGGAAATGTAAAACAGTCTACAGACTACCCTTGAGTTAACAGAGCACTTCATGTGAGGCTGACGAGAATATCCAATTAAGATATTTAAATTGTACTGTGGTTCCTTGATGCAGAGAATGTCTACATACAGAAATGAAACAGGATTAAGCTATTAGACATAACCATACAAGGACGCAGGAAGAATAACTTCACTCCACACAAGAAACACAATGCAGGAGCACTACCTTGGAGGGAGTGTGGGTGGGGGGTGGTTGTCCATAGTTTAGTTTGTGGTTCAGATAGGACACTGTCACATTAGGTGTAGAATACTTCAACATTATATGAAATCAAAACATCCCCACACATATTCTTCAAGGCCCAAAATAATTCTATTTCTAAACTAGCCCTTTTAGTCTGTCACTTTTCCCCAGGGAGAAGATACAGGTTCAGAATTTTAAGAAAAAAGGAAATTTTTATATTTTCCATTTTTTGTTATACTATTGGTTATTATTATAAAGAATTCATTTTTAATTCTAAAATTACTACTAGGCTCATGCACTGGCCCCTAACATGGCACTACATTTTGCTACAAAGCATTAATGCTTATGAAACTATACATAATATCAAAATGGAAGACATTGGTGATTTTGTTGTTCTCAAACAACTTGTAACATTATTTTGTCCACAAGTATTAAAATATATATGTATATATATGTAATTATTGCACATATCCCATGTTTATTTGTTTTAACTTTTCAAAAAGGAAAATTTCTGACCAACAAGGAGGACTGGAAGAAGAGAAGGTTTAGCAATAGGCCATAGAGGGTGCTGCCTAAAACCACAGCCAGGAAGGAAACTGCATAAAGACAGGCAGAAAAGAAATAAAGAGGGTGTCTTAAGAGAGTATAAGGCTGAAACAACTGATCATGACCAAATTTTGGTTGTAATGAGATTTTTGTGACAGTTGTAAATAAGGCAGGAGTCTATTTCAGGGAAACATTAAACAGTTAACTTATTGGCTATGAATTCAGAGAACTCTAAGGGATCTAAAAAAGTAGATCTGATGCCTGAAGCACCAATGGGCCAGAATGGATCTGTTGCAAGTTTGACAGAGGAGGTAAGGAGAATAGGATGGCCCTGCTGCCTGCCAGAAAGGCTACCAATAATAAGACATTAAAGGGAATGGCAGAGAAACAAGATTTAAACTCTTTCTCAACATCTTGGTGGCACCTGTAGTGACCCCTTTAGTAAGGAGTTTCCCCAACAACACTGGTCTTTATCTTTACAGAGCAGTAGTAACAAATAAAAAATAAACAAGTGACTGGGAGGTCTGCCTAACTGAAGTGAAAGATTTCTAACTACTATAAACATACAACTTTCAAAAGACATGACTAACTTATACAGGGTATCCCAGAAGTCTTAGTGGAGCTTTAAGCTATTAAAACTTAAAATTGCACCAAGACGTTGAGAATGGTGTACTTTACTACTAGCCAATCTTACTCATTACCCTTTTAAAATCATACTTTATCTAAAACTTCTTTCCCCCTAAAAGACAATTTGATTTAGATTTCAATTCCCATCGGCTAAGACCTACTATTCATCAAAGGATAACATTCCATTCTGGCAATTCTTGTCTTTAACAAAATTCTATCTGGGCAGAGCAGTCTGAATCCAGGCTCTTTACTCCAGCATCATACCAGGGCTCTGGATGTGCATATTCCCCAAAACACAAAGATACAACATATGGCCTTAATATTTGACAAGTTTTACGTTGATTTCTCTAGTACTGTAAGATAACAAATAAAAGAGGGCAGATGTTCTCCTGTACTAGTAACACGTCATCCCAAACTCTGCTGTGCATCTCAGGTATAGGAGCGAGGAAGGATTTCAGCTCCCAAGGGTAGTGTTGGGTTTTTTCCCCTTAGTAAGAGGAAAACAAGCTATTCCATATCTGTTGCCTAATCTAGATATGAAACTATTCTGTGGAATTTTTTGGGGGGGTGGGAGGGCGGGAAGGACGGGGGACAGAATATAGTTGCTAAATTTCTTCCAGACCTAAGTTCATCCTGCCTCAAGCCAAGGTTGATGGACATTATATTGAGGCTCACTCTCTGGTGAGATGCTTCAGTTTCACCAATGGATATCACTCTCGTAGCCATCCTGAATTGAAGGATAATGTTCCCATGACACTGCAAGGGATGAAGATACAGAATGTCATGCAAATATGTCAGTCCAAGCGAGCTGCACAAAGTATTTCTGCTTTTTGTCTCTCAGGTTGAAGTTGTATGGGGAAAAAAATATTTTTCTTTCCTACTCCCACTCTTTTTCCATTCTGCTATATTCATAGCCAACTATGGGTTTGATCTGGTATTCTGAGTATCCAATGGCAGATGCCTTGTTTTGGTTCACTCTTAGCCACAGCAATATGAAAAGCCAACTCCAGAATGTCCCATAACACTCCACAAGGAAAAAAGGTGACATCAAGCCATATATATGCACAAGAGAGCCCCCATTCTTGGTAAGATCAAAACTTTTTGTCCTTTGTTTAGTCAAAAGTCAACGAAAACTGTTTTCCAACGGACCCAGGAATGCATTTATGAGGTCTGCTTCTGTACAACCTGCTCCTTTCTTGTGAAAATGGAAAAACATCTTAAAATGGTATGAAGCAACCAAGTGCTACCAGGGGAAGAGACAAGGCAGCCAGGCTTTGTTCTTGGAAGAAATCTTTCTTCTCACTGATAAATGTGGATATACCCATGCAGAAATATCTTTGTTCAAAGAACATGTTTTCTTCATACACATAAAAAATGCAGGGACATCGTACTGTACACAGCTGCTTTACTTACCATGTCACTGGAGTATCTACAAAGTTGGCCCTTTGTTCTGGATTGAGAAATATATGTAATGGAATTAATTACAATTCAGAACTGAAGTGTACTTTCTTGTATTGAAATATAAGTTTTCTTGCTGTAATTATGCATATGTGTAATTTTATGCTAGTTCCAACAGGATACAAGTAGCCCCTGCAGACATTTTGACTTCTTACTGTGTATTCTTGTAAAGCATAAAGGGCAAAGAACTCACAAATGCCACCATCTAAACACCTGACAATAATTTAAATATTATGCTTCAATTTGGGGGAAAAAAAAAAAGATCCCTTCTCTCATCTAAGCAAATAGCTGAGTACCAACATCAATTGCTTCTTTTTCCCTGGAAGAATTGGCATGATGCCAGCCAGACGGCACCAAGGAGGAAGCCACCTAACAAGCTAAAGGTGCTGTATTTGAGAAGTGGAACACGAAGTGAAGAAATTTTTTCCATTCTGGTCCATGGAGTTAAAGTAGAGAGGAGATAGATCCACATGTCAAGACCAAGGACTGCAGTTACATAAAAGAAGCAGGATCACCTGAGAAAACAGTGAAGGATCTAAAAACAGAAAAGAAAAGTAGGATGATTATTTCAGTTTGAGCTTATTTCACTGGTAAAGATTTATTTCTATAACAAAACACTCCCCCCACCCCAATACTGCCAAAATAGTAAACAAAATGTTACTTGTAGAAAAGCAACTAAGTAGTTATAGAAAATATTCATACATTTACAGACATATCCACAAATTATAAGCATGAATACATCAATAATTTCCCAAATTAAACCTAAAACACTCTTTTCCTCTTAATTCTGGGCCCAACTTAGGGTCTCTCTGTATATGCCGGGTACCAACAGCCCAGTTCTACTATCCAACTAACTGCATACTACAATCTGGGTAATAGGCACTCTTCCCACTTTCTGGTTTTCCTATATGGATTACTAGATTGAACTCATGGGTTTATAATTTAAGACCCTGTTCAACATTTTTGAGTTTGTTATAATCATAATAACATCATTCAGAAAAAGGAGATTATGAAGAACTTTCCTATCTACGGGGAATTCACCTTCTATTACAAAATGGACATCCTCCATGACAGTGGAAAATACTTTGGAAGAGCACATATCTTCTTGTTTTTTATGCCTGGTTTAATATTCATAGTAAAAGGACCACCAAACAACACTATCTTATTTTATCTTTCAAGGAATTTATGTGATTGATGGAAACAGTATGGTGTAATACTCTTAAAAAGTACTGGCTTTGGAGCAGAGGACTTCCATTTAATTTCCAGCTCAGCCAATTACTACCTGTGTAACCCTGGACAAATCACAACCTCTCTAAGCTCAAATCTTCTGTGAAATGAAGGGAGGATGGGGGTGGGGTTGAACTACAAGGCGTCTTTAAGCTGTCAATCTATAATCATATGATTTTTACCTATCCATGAGAGAAAACTTGTCGGAAGCTAGTTGTTAAAACTGCACTTTGTTCTACCAAGTTAAATGCTTTTAAAAAGTTGATAAAAAATAAACAATGGAATTTTGTATTCTGTGCATCTTTCTATCAGTTAGATGGGTTTAAAGATAACAGTGTGCTATAGGATTTAATTGTGAAAGTCTGCCCACTCCCATTTCATACTTTCATCAAGGATGTCCTTGACGCATGAATTATAGAACCAGCAAAACAATATGGATGATCACTGCAACAATCTAAATGTTTCTAAGAACAAAGCAAATGAAACTGAATAATGCAAAATTATAATGATCAAGCTTGGCTACAAAGAAAGGATATTAGAAAGCATTTGCATTGGGTGGAGGTTCAGACTAAATTACTTCTAAGGTCTATTACCTCCAAAAGTCTAGATCTACTCCAGTTCAGCTGCAAACCAGAAAACAGTGAGAAAACAGTGTTCTTTAACAAAGTCCAAGAGAAGAAAATGTGGTACCTACTTCCTAAAGGTATACACAATTCCATATTTAATCCCTGAATCTATGAAACACATGCTATTTTATGCCTTCCTCTAGCAATTGCAACATTCTCTATCTCATGCATAGGACTTGAAATCAGTTCCATCTGAAACCAACCTTAAAGGTGATTTACATGTGACACAATTAGTGACAAAGTAGCAAGCCAGTTTTACAAGGTTAACTAAACAGAGCTCTGTTTATACCTCTGCTGAAGAATGAGTCCATGTTTCTGCATGCAAGGCCAAAAAATTAAAACACACTTAAAGGAAAAATATGATCATATATTTAGAGAAGCATGGAAAGACTTACATACATGTACACAAAGTAAAGCAAGAACCAGGAAAGCATATACATAAGGACGACAATGTAAATGGAAAATCCAAAAACCTAAGACTGCATCTGTGTAATTATAACAACTGGGCTCAGCCCAGAAGAAAAGATAAGAAAATGCACCTCCCTCTCTTCTTTGCAGAGATGGGGGTGTGGGGTTATGGGAGTGTAGCATCCCCTACATCGCCACATTTGGCGACGTGTTGACTAGTTTTGCTGAATTGCTTTTCTCCCCCTTCTTTCTTTTTTGTTTTGTTACAAGGGATGGTTCACTGGCTTGGGGAATATATTTTGAAATAAAGGCAATGTAAAAATAAAAGAGATCAAATTAAAAAACAAAACAAAACATCATCTTCTAGAGCCTGTGAATGTACCACCTTAAGGAAATGGTTTTACTCAATCCAATCCTTACCTATTTTACCCCAACCCAGCTACTGTAGTTATACACTTCTGGAAGCAATACCAAGTCTTCCTGGAAACTATATATAAACATAATAAAGTCCAGAATCACTTCTTCCTTCTTCCCCTCTTTTGACTTATTTATTTTACCCTACCTTATTGTCCTTGCAAAAATACTGTTTTGAAAAAGCATTTTGTGTCTAATAGTTTTAATGTGTCTGAAACTATTAAACTGATTTTAAGAATATAAATTTGCACCAGATTAAGACCCCTAGAGTAATTGTGTAAAGTATTTTGCACATAAATACTACCTAATGATTACATCTTTATATAGTTTTATTTACTTTCCTACATCCATAATAAAATGTAAATTCCTTATTTACATGTCAATATCAATAAAATGTAACCTCCTTGAGAGCAAGAGTGATTTCTTTTTAGTCTTTTACTTTATTCCTGGCTCCCAATACCCTGTGTGTCTTGTGTTGAAAGGGCTCTCTCACTTTTGATTTTGTGTTCCAGCACCAGCACAGTGCCTGGTACACAGTAAGTGCTTAATAAATATCATCAGACTGGCACATTAATTACTGTACAAAGGCAGAAAAAGGAATGAAAGAAATTTACTAAGCACATTCTTCTTTAAAAAAAAAAAATGTTACTGAAAACTTTTTTTTAATAACATCCCTCACATTTTCCCAATGGATCCCCTCCCCTCCCAGAACGTTATCCCTCACAACAAAGAATAAAAAGGTAAAAAAAGTTCAGAAAAACCAGCATATTGAGAAAGTCTGATGGTGGATACATTCACCCCCCCACACTCCCCACCCTGACATGGAAGACAGGTCGGTGGGCCTTCTGTTGAAGCCAGGCTAGGCTGTTCTTCTTCCCCCTGTCAATGTTGTTACTGTAAGTGCATATTGCTTCCTTGGTTTTATTTACTTCACTTTATGCCATTCCATTTAAGTCTCTCCATGCTTCTGTGCATTTATCATATCTATTCTTTACACAGTCATATTCGTGATCCACAACCTATTCAGCCATTCCCCAGTCAATGGCCATTTGATTTGTTTCCAGGTCTTTGCTACTATAAAATTAAAAAATAAAAATCAATAAATATTTAAGTGCCTACTATGTGCGAGGCATTGTGCTAAATGCTACAGGACAAAAGTCCTGCTTTAAATATTTTGGTATGAATAAATTCTTTCTTTTTGTGGTCTACACACTCCTCTTAGGCAGCACAACACATACATGGCAAGCAGGGCCCAGAGAAGGGAGTTTGGGTCCAGGAGGTATGGAAGGGAAATCTGGACACATAACTTTCTAAACTATAACAAGGATCCTAATTAATTAGCTAATTTTAAAGCCCCTATTTGGTCTTTATTCAGTGGTGTCTGACTGTGACCCCATTTGGGGTTTTCTTGGCAAAGATACTTAAGCGGTTTGCAATTTCCTTCTCCAGCGAATTAAGGCAAATAGCGTTAAGTAACTTGTCTAGGGTCACACAGATAGCAAGTGTCTGAGGCCACATCTGAACTCAGGTCTTCCTGACTCCAGCCCCAGTGCTCTACCCACTGAGCCACCTAGCTGCCTCTGTTTGGTCTTTAGACTATTACAAATATATACACTGAAGCCTACTATAATAGCCTAGGGGAAAAAACCTGAGAATTATGGAAGACTCCTGAGGAAAATGTGCAAATCCAGTAAGAAGCGCAGTGGGTGGGTGAGATGAAAGGCAAGAGCAGGCTGGGTGCAGGTTTGTGGAATTCTTTGGGATGCTGACAATCCAGTAGTTGAAATGACTAATCATCTCTGGGCTGCAAGACTCCTTCATTAATTAGCCAGAGCTTACCTGGGCTAATTCAAAGCCTACAAAAGCTAGTTTCCCATATTCTCTTCCTCCTACGCTGTGGAACATTCCTACAGGCAAGAGACTAAAAAATCCCTTCTGCAAGATGTATTTTGCTTTTGTTTTCTGTGGTTCCTGACACAGTTTTGTCATGACAATCTATATAGTCTTGTGTTGTCTGATTCTGACTTTCAAATTGAAGCGTCCAGCTTCGACACTCAGTCACATATGAAATATACATAAATAACACAAGCAAGTGCAAATAGATAAAAGCTATTTCCTAAAAGGAAAAACAACTATCTAAACCATAATTACTAGGAATGAGAGAAAAGGGAAATGACTGTCATTAACTTTCAATGGTATAATGCAATACTAATTTTATATAAGAAACACATGTAAGTCACAAGAACCTCTAGGACTTGATACTGAAAAATATCACATTTCATATTTCAATTTGTGCTGCCAGTTCCTGATTTAGGGGTTCTGCAAAGAGTAGTCACACCCTACGCAAGACTAGCAATTTACAAGAAATAGTTCAAACAGCCTATTTATTTAATAGATTAACCTAAAATGGGAATGACATTGGTATCTGCTTAAAGTACAAAACAGTGAGTTATAAAATGATTATAAACTGTTAATTGTTATGCGCCTGCCTGGTACTATACCCCCGAGAAACTCCATTTCAAAGACACGACCTCATTAATTCCCACAACAGCCTAATGAGGTAATAAGCAAGTAAAAATTATTATTATCCTCATTGTACACATGGGGAAACAAAGACATCAAAAAGAACTTGTTCTGGGTCATGCAATGAACTGGAAGGAGGGTAAAACTGAACCTGGATCAATGATTTATTATTAAGTTAGATTTCCCCAAAATGAAATGCAGAGATACCTACAGAATGATTCAAATGAATGTCTTTTTTCTTCTAAAGAACCTGTAAGACACAAAGAAAAAGTATATCTCATGAGGATTCATTAAAAGTGGGAAACAACAGAAGCTGGTAGCTATTAGTGTTAGGGAATTAACTACTGAAGAAGGGGGGAAAAGAGACTTGGGGATATTTTTGAGGTAAGAAAATTCTGACTGTGATAGAAGATGGGAGGGAGGTGATTTGGGCACATAACTTGTAAAGGGTTCTCTGAAATGAGGTCAAATTGTATAAAGACTGCCAGCAGAAGAAATCTTTACCTCTGGCACAATGGCAGTCTGCAACGATACATGCCACACCAAATGAGCTCTACTTTGAAGTCAAAATAAGCTTTCATACTGGCAGTTCCCAATCAAGAATCCCAGTTTCCAAAAATCACATTAAATCCTTTAATCTTTGCAGATCACCATAAGAAGTTAATGATTTGTTTGCTTGAATTTCTACAAGGTAACTTAACAAGATTCAACATTGATCTCTGAAAGGGCCCATTCCCCCTTCTGCATTATACTTTGTATAAGCAGTTACGGCTATGGTTTGAGTCATATGCCCAATTTACTGTGACACTGTCTTTAATCCCTAGACTTAGCCTCAACATACAAATATCCTGAAAACACAAGAGGTTAAAATCAGCCTCTGAGCAGTTTCCCGTTCCTACTATCATTATTCTGTGTTTTTGCTCTCAACCCCACTTTAGAGAAAGATTACCTTTCTCTATTTAAGAATTGGCAAATTCTTTTTCTCAGGTTATGTAAATGCAGAAAGGAAAGAGAAAGGTAGCAATGCTACAGTTAGGTTTCCTATAGGTGGTTGAATACATGAAAATTGGATGAGTGAAAGAAGGTAAAGAAAATATGATTGGAGAAAGAAACATTTTCCTCTAACCTTCTTCTTATACACTTGACGGGAATAGGTTGCAAATGATTCCTGAAGCAAACAAGGCATCTATTACCCTTACAATATAAAAGACTTCTAAAGAAAATCTGGTATAAAAGGAAAAATAGGTTTTCTTTTTCCATAGGTAATGCTTTCAAGCATCAACCTAATTAATAGCATAGGATCTTCCCAGAAATGGTATTACTGTCTTCACTCTTGTATAACCTCTAAAATTTTCCTCATTTCTGTATGAATAATTACATAATTCAACAGGGAAGACATTCTTTCATAATCCAACTTTATATTCTGCAAAGAATCCAGTGCATTATTGTTATCTAATAAATAATTCATAATTATAATTTGCTGTATTTCATATGTAGCTAAAAACCTGATCTGGTAACAAGAATTCGTTGTACCTTCCACCAAAACAACTGATTCAAGTCAGAACCTGAGTCTTTCTAGTCAAATTCTGATAAAATAATCCACTGTGATTTAGGATTAAAAAAACAAATCAAAACTGATCATGAAATAAAATCATTCTGAGAACATACCTGGTTTTATAATTTCAGTAAAGCAACGGGGAAAACACCTAAATTACATTCTTCTTAATTTGGTGAAATAAGCCTTTGTAAGAATATATCTTGATTTTAATAAAATTATTTGCCCAAACCAACAAATCAAAATATTATATGTGAATATAGATATAATAGATATGAAAAAAATCATAGATTCCAGGGCATTTCTATCTTTTTTTTTTTAAATGCAATTGGGGTTACATGACTTGCTCAGGGTCATACAGCTAGTAAGGGTCAAGTGTTTGGTCTGAGGTCACATTTGAACTCAGGTCCTCCAGACTCCAGGGCCGGTAATCTATCCACTGCGCCACCTGGCTGCCCCAGGGCATCTGTATCTTTAACACTTCAGTTGTGTCAAACTCTTTGTGTTCCCCTTTGGGGTTTTCTTGGCAAAGATACTAGAGTGGTTTGCATTTCCTTCTCCAGTTCATTTTATAGATAAGGAAACTGAGGCAAACAGGGTTAAGTGACTTGTCCAGGGTCACACAGCTAATAAGTGTCTGTGACCAGATTTGAATTCAAAAAGATGAGTCTTCCTGATTTCAAGTCCATCACTCTATTCACTGTGCCACCTAGCTGCCCTAACACTAAATAGTGGAGACAAAATCATAAAACCTGAAGTTTATACTCTTTAAAACACTGTAAGAGTATTCATTAATAACTCAAATATGGAAATTCATTTACAGAATATATTCTTGAAACTCATATGTCAAAACTGTTCAAAATAGCCGACTGGATCTACTCAACTTGGATAATAGTATTCCAACTGCACTAAACCAAACAATTCACCAAAGACTATCAAATAAAGTAAAAATCTTCACAGTGGCATTCAATGCCTTCCATCACCACGCAACAATTTAGCTTTCCAGTTTTTTAGCTCTTATTACTTCCTAAATAGCCTACTCTTCAGTCAAGTACTACCTTCCTATGCTTTCCGTTGACCTATGTTTGGAATCTTATTCCCCCCTCAATATCCACCAGCTAAAATCCTATCCATTCTGAAGGCCCAACTAAAAAATATCACTTACTTCATGTAGCTTTCCTCCAATCTTCTCACATAGAAATGTCCCTGATTCAGAAATCTCATAATTTTCCCTCTACTTCTCTTATATACCTAGGTTCCATTTTATATTTAAATTATTTACCAACATTTCTTATCTGCCATAACAGAGTGTATTATATTCATGAACCTTTGTATTTCCTTCAGCATCTAAAACAACGCTTTGTATACCACAAACTTTTATTAAATTCCTGAACTCAACAGAAAGGTTAGAAAAGCAAATTTCTATAGCATTAAAGGGAAAGAACTATCATTCAGATATGTAGAATCTAGATATAAAATGCCCTATAAAGTTGGAGTCCAATAAGTTTCACTTCCACACCTCTGAAGCCACCTGTCTATAGAGTTAAAGTGAGTATGTCATTAACAAATGTGACTTAATGGAAGAAAAAGAAAACAGGACTTTTCAGTGAAAACTGATATAAGCAATTTGACTACCCTGCTTAGGAGATTAAGAACCATGTTCTGTGTTTTTTTTTTAATAACAGGAAGAATGATTCATTGTGCAGAATAATGCAAGCATCTTGCCCTACTATGCAGACTACAGATTTGGAATACTATTTCATAATGTTGCCAAAAGCACTGCTGATAAGAATTGTTTAATTGCATGTGGTATGCTAAACACCATAGGGAGAGTTGTACAGAAAATAGTTCCTGCACACTATGACTTCATAATCTAGGAAAGATATAAATCTAATACATGGGCAAAATGACTGTAATCTTATTTTTAAGGGGCAACTGGTTTAGATTTAGTCCAACAGTTTATTTTTCCATTTTTTTGGGTCCCTTCTATGAATGAATGAAACTCATGTAGTAGGTTTTTCATTTTCAAATTAAGTTTATAATATTAAACAATGTCCACATCATAGAATTAGCTACAGTAGTTATGATGCCTGTTTCTTAGATTAGGAGATGGGGCAGAAACCTTAAGAAATTCATATTTCAAGTAAGTTTCTAAGCATAAAAACTACTTTCCTTTTGTGATAAATTCAGAGGATATACATCATGTGATATAGCCCATAAAGAACTATAAATCCTTCAGATGTATTTCCTGAGAAGTTTTTATGTAATAGCTTATGTGGTCATCAAAGAAAGCATTACATACCAATTATTTTGCAGGAACATATTCACACGAACAGTAGGTTTTACATCAGTCTTCCTGAGCCAGAAATTTACTTATTTATATAACATTTTTACCAATCCACTTGCTTTATGGTAGCAAACTGAATAAAATTTGCATCTTTTTTACTTGCCCATCAGAAACTGTTATACTTGCTTAGGGCAAACTGTCAAGGGAATTTTTTTTTTCAAGGGAACTATTAAGAGGCTGTTCAAAAGCATTTGGAATGGTACTTCAACTTTTACTTACCTACTAAATCCTGAGCTTATGGATTCTGTTTTGCATTCAAGATGAGGACAACATAAACACCGTAGGAAAATTATTGTGTCTAGAATAAGGAACCTATGGATAAAGAAAAGTGAAAATCTCAGAATTTTAAAGGCTTTTAATATACCCCTTACTGGCATTTTATGGGTCAACACAGCTATTAAAATGCAACAATCTACCTTAAGAAAAATCATTATCACATACCACAGAAAAATCACAGCTTGATAATTATTTATTCTTTACTCTGAACTGAATTTATCTAAAAAATGATGCTAGAAGATTTCTCTTTATGATGACCAAAGAAGTGTGACAGAAAATTTCCCTGCTTTCTCTTCCTTCCTCCAAATCCTCCTTTTTTCTTCTAAAAGGGTCTAAGCTGATATTCATTCTCATGGTCAAGGACTGAACAGAGTAATAATCTATTATTTATAAAAATGCACAGAAATGACTTAAGGGTATAACTAAATGCTGCTTTTCTAGGTATTTCAAGGCCATGCTGAAACAAGAACCTTCCTATTGCAGCACATAATTTCAGAAATAATTTCATTCCTTACAAAGACACTACTACATGCAAGGGACTGTTCTAAACAATTTATGTTCTTACATTATGAAATGTCTGTTCAAACAGGTCTTGACTGACAGACAAAAGCTCTAAATAAGGGCTATTTTACATAAGCTTTCCTCTGATACAAACCCATTAACAAATAAGAATCTAGCCTTTTCAACACCTTTTTGTAAGGTTTTGTGTTGTATAGGTACAACAGCACTGGCCTTGGGAGTCAAAAGACCTGGATTTAAATCTTGGGTCACCATGGGCAAGTATCTTAACAACTCCATACAAAGATAACAGAACTTAATAGTTTACAAAGCACTTCCTGACAGAATCCAGTGACAGAGAGTGCAAGTTCTATCATTCTCGACTTCCTATTAAGGAATTTAGGGAATTAAGGTGACTTAGTCCAGTGATCTCACAACTTACCCCACCTACCCTAATTTATTTAAGTCTCAGCTTCCTTATTTGCAGAGAGGAGAACAGCCGTAATTCCCTCCAAGGGGCATGAGGATCAAATTAAATTTATTTTGTAAAAGGCAATTGCAACAATGTAAATGACTGATTTTAAAGTTCATCAGTTCAGAGTCAAAAACATAATAAAAAAAGTTTATAAACTTCAATTGGAAAAACTACATTTATACTCCAGTCTGGAGTCTGCAAAAGCCTTTTAAGTCATATGATTGGGGCAGGGGCCCAAGAGGAAGGAAAGGTATTGTAGCTACAAAGAGTGACAGAACAATATTACTACATAATAAATTCAATTCTTCCTCAACTGCATTTTATTATCGAATCCAAGTTACACAGTGCATTCTGACAACTCTCAGAATGGCAAAATTACTTAGCACAATATATATAACCAAGTCCCTTAAAAACGCCTTTGGCCCACCCCTCAATTTGTTTCTGTTGTTCAGACCTGTCAGATCTTCATGACCCCATACGTAATTTTCTTGGCAAAGTTGCTGGTGAGGTCTGTCAATTCCTTCTGCAGCCCATTTTACAGATGAGGAAACTGAGGCAAACAGGCTTATGTTAAGTGACTTGCCCAGGGTCACACGGCTAGTATGTGTCTGAAACAGGATCTGAATGCAGGTCTTGCTGACTCCAGGACGAATGCTTTATCCACTGCATCTACTACCTGACGCCTTCTCTCACTAAAGTCTGACTCTACAGATTCCCTTGACGCTGAGACAAAAACCTAGTTGTGAATTTCAGAGTGCTAAAGTTAAGTGAGTACGGCGTAAAATAGTAAAAAAGAAAAAGAAAAAAAAAGTTTGCATATTCAGCGCATAAGGGAAACCTGGGTGGTGTCCACACTGCACAGGACCAGAATCAAACCCATCTGGGTGACCTCTCGGTGACAAATCTCAAGGTCATTGGGACGAGGGCGGGGGCCAGGATCAAATCATCCCCCATCAACTGGGGAAGGGCAGAGAGGAAGAGGGGGAGGGAAAGGAAGAAAGGGTTGAAATTCTAATTAGAGGTGCAAAAATAATTCCAATCAATAGGTCAGATGAAGGAAACAGCCTCTTAGGCCGCAATAAATAACAGGCAAAGCGGATGCGTGACACGCCCAAGCTTGGCCCAATCAGGGAGGCACAGAACGGGATAATAAAAAAGCAGCCAAGGGCAAGCCAATGAGAATGACGGGAGGCTGAAAAAGGAGGCTAGGTGTCAGCCAATGGGAGAGTCCAGGGGGGGGGTGGGCTGTTGGAAAGACGTCCGGATGAGGGCCAATGGAAGGAGTAGAGAAGGAGGGACTATGGGACTCTCGGGAACAAGCCAATGGCGGCGGTGGGAAGGGGGAGGAGGCATTCACTAAGTAGTGGATAAGGCGAGCTGGGGGAATCAGCCCTTTCTCCCCCCGGCCAGTAGGGGCGGCCCCAACAGGGAGCAGAGCGGGCACTTCCCACGGCCTAGTCTATGGAAGAAGCCCCCCTGTATCCGTCCTCCTCCCAAGCTTACCTGAGCTGTCAAGACCAGCCGGCCGCTGACCGGGGCTAGCCAACCCCAGCCGCCGCGGGTTCCCGGCAGCCGCAGCCGCGGCCGCAGCGGGGATGGCAGCTCCTCACTCCGCCATCTTCCTCTCCTTTTCAGCCCCGCCTATCCTGCGTAAAACAGAACCCCCTAAGCCCCGCCTTCGTATCCTTCTCCGAAATCCGATTGATAGTTGAGTTCACCCGTCATGCCCCACTTTCCTGTAGTAATTGGTCGAAATCAATGTCGATCAACTCACCCCTTTGTCTCTTTTTTTTTAAATCCAATCGGACAACAGGGCAGACGTCACTGGCAAAGGGGATTGGCGGACTAGTTAATTATCCCACCTTTCTCCGAATTTCAAGGGACCCAGCTGGACAGCTGTTGCCCCGGCAGTCAGACGAGGGCGAGCATGGAATTACTCTCTTTCCTGGCATTTAGAACCGAGTTGTTTTCCCTTCTGCCCCACTGGGCTTTGGGATTCTATTTTACTGGTTCTAGGGTAATTTTAGTGCGTGTCTGGGGGGACAGTGCTTTTACAACTCTACCGTGTTGTTGCAAGCACATCACTTTGCCCACTGTAAAACACTATATAGCTGTGAGTTATTGATATTATTAGCCTCCAAGCAAGGAGGTGCAGGTAAGCGTGTGATCTTTTAGGTAGGTAGGAGGTTAAAGATATTGTAATCCCATTATCTCTAAAATGGTATGAATTTTCAAACTCATGCCTTCTGGAAGACTCCAGATATGTGAAAGCTAAAAGGGAAGCAGTGAAGTCCAATACTTTTTTTTTTTTCTTCTTTAGTGCTAGGCAAAAAAAAAAAAAAAAAGATACAGAGAAACTCTCAGCCTTTATCCCCTTGTCCTCCATTACTATAGCTGAATGTGACTGGCACCATATTTCTAAGTATATTCTTTTATTCTGTTAAATACTGTATCCGAGTCATCTAATCTTATTTTCTCATAAACACCTGTAGTTGACTCTGTCCTTTGCATTTATGTTACTTTGTAGCATGAGAATACAGGACAGCTCTGGAAGCCACAGTTGGAGAGACTATTCCAGTTTATTTTTTCATCAGCAATAAGCCTTCTTTCCCTTCTACCTTAATGTCTCTCCTACTGAGAAAGCCAGAAAGGTTAATACCCCCCCCCCCCATACGTATAATCATGAAAAACAAATTCTTGCGTTGGCTATTGCAAGGAAAAAAAAGTCAATCTACACTCTTGAGTCCGTTGGAATCCTCTGTCAGTAGGTAGGTAGGTTTAATCTTGAGCCCTCTCCGTTCATGCTAGCGAAGCCCTGTTGATTCTGGCACAATTCTCACATCCATCTCTCCTGAGCATCTTCAGATGCCTAGTGGACATTTCAGATCATATGCCCACATCTCAAACTCAGTATGTACAAAACAGAATTCATAATCTTTATCGCCCAGTCATCCCCTTTTCCTAGCTACCCTATTTCTTTTGATGGCTCCACAATCCTTCCATTCATCCAGGTTCACAACCCTGGTGTCATCATTGATTGTGAGTGAGGTTCAAATGAAATAATATATCTAAGGGGCTTTGCAAACTTGAAAGTGTTATGTAATTATCAACTATTATGATTATTATACTATCTCTACTTAGATATGTATAATATTGTTCTACTAGAAGCTCCATGAGTGCAGGTACATTATTTAATGTAAACTTTATATTTGCCCTGGGCCTACCTAATGTAGTACTCTCCCAAATATCTGGCATAGTAGGTGCTCAATTTTTGTCAAATTGTATTCCCAGATTTAGTCATCCTTATGTTCACTGCCTTCTATCTTTTACACCTCCTTGTATAGCAGCAGTGGTTTCTTTAGATGCCTTCTCATCTGTCTTCCTTACAGCTATTACTTATGATTATATAGTTAGAATTTCACTTTTAGGACCACCTGTCCTTTGAAAAATCATATACCTCTTTATAGTTTCTAGTTAAACCACCCTTTTCTCTGGATGTTTTGAAATTGCTTTGTGAGTTAGTTATTTTTTAAACACAACCTCCCTTGGAGCTAAAGTCTCCTAAAATTAGACTGAATATTTGATAGATCTATGAAGACACCAGTAGTGTGATCTGTGATCATGGGCACAGGAAATAATTTTTTTTTTAGTAACCACAGTTTGTTTTCTTTTGCTTTTCAGTGTCCTTTTCTGCATTTGCTTAGGAAATGAGAGGTGATGGGGAGAAAGAGGAACAAAAAGTATCTTTGAATTCGGAGTCAAAACATTTGAACTTTTGTACTTTGCCATTAAACTAAAAACTCTGGGTAGCCTCCCCTGAAAAAAACTTATGGGAGGAAATAGAAATTGTATAGGATGGGCAGCCACGAATCAGTTGCATTCTGTATCATTGAAGGGAACATCTACATAGATGAGAATATAGATCCCTTAGAATGTTAAAGTATTTTGCTGAAAAGGATAGTTTTGGTTCAGGAAGTAATGTAGCCACTCACTGCTGTTTTGAGAAACTATTTCATAAGATGGTGAAAGTCTCTTTGGTAACTCTTTGTCCTCTTCCTCCCTAAAAATGAATATTACAATATCAGTCTAAAACTTAAACTGGTCTTTCATTGAAGCTGAGCAAACCCAGCTTCTGCCTTCAAGAACTCCATGCATATGTTCTCTTCGTTTCACACAAGGTACAGAATTCAGACACCATTTCACCTGGGTCTGAGTCACATCTAAATAAGTACATTTTCAGGGAACAGTCACAATCTGAGTTTGAACTAAGGTAGCTGAAAAGGGGGCAGAAAAAAGGGGGCAGTCTGCAAAGGCAGACATGCTTTTCTCCTACTATTCTGAGAACCATTTCATGAAAATAAAGCTTCTGTTGATAAGCTCAGTAGGACCATCCTTGTTTTGTGCTGATCTCACATTGGATTTTCCCAGTTAACTTGGGAAAATTAAAAAAAAAAATCACCTCACAGCTACTACATAGGGTTTGGAATATCAATTTCTTGAAGTCCAAATATAACAAGCTTCCACATACAGAAACACTTTATTTAGCTGGAGTTATTAGGATGCCAACTCTGTTCCACATAAATGGATTTTCTAAATAAGTGATATCTGCTTTTTTTAGCACTTTTTTTCCTAAGCAGTGTCACTCAATTCTTTGACTTCTTAGAGTATCTGGAAAATAATTATTTACTCATATTTTGAACAGAATAGTTATATCGCGGTAGCTCCAGAGGATGTCATTATTGCTTTTTATGGATTTTTGGGGGGGGTCCTCTCCTGATCAGCTGTCCTTTTTTTAAACCTGAGATTTCATAAACTCCCTCTACATTCTCTGCAGCTTATTCTTAGAGCATTGCCAAGACACTGAAGTTAAATGACTTGCCCAGGGCCACACAGCCAGTATCTGAGGCAGGACTTGAACCCAGTTAAGTGAGATTGGTGAAGACCTCTCATAAAATCTAAACTTAAATGAGCAAAATGAGTAAAATAAGGTGAAGACCCCTAATAATAATATATGTGTATCCAGGTCAGGAAGCTTGTAAATAGCCCGGATAAATATGTTTAAATTGTTGCAAATTGTTCCAGGAACTGAAATGAACAAACAGGATGTACCGAGGATACTTGAAGGAGGGAAAGGCAGGTGCAAACAATGTAACGATTCTGTAATTTCCACTGCTGTTGCCAGGGTAGTTTTGCCCCGTTTAGATTGTGCCCAGTTGCAGTTAGAACCTATAAAAATGCTTGCTTGGCCGACACCACCCGTGGTCTTGCATCTAACCACCTTTCAGTGTGAGTCACCCTTTCTCATGAGATCAGAATAAAATCCTTTCTACTTTCTAGAGAAGCCTCTGAATTAATTTGGGTAAGGGTCATCGCTATCCCACACACAGTTTTCCTGGCTTCCAGGTCAGCTCTCTATGCCATGTTCTCTCAGCAGTTATTCACACAGCATTCCCACTCTGTTTCACTGTTTTTGCTATAATGTGGGCTGCGAAAAGCTAACTGTAAACTCCTTGAGGTTATGGAATCTTTTTTTTCTCCAATATCTGGAATATAGTAGGTGCCTCAATAAAAGCTTGTTGGATTGAATTGTTAGAATAAGAGGCATAGGGAGTGACACATGACATGAGACAAACTTAGAGAACCCTGGGAAGACTTCTATGAACTGAGGCAGTGATGTGAACAGCATCAGAACAATTAATGCATTGTAACATTGTAAAACAAAGTAACTGAAAGATGAAATGACCAGTGATGACTCCAGATGTTTGATAAGGAATCATGCTTCTAACCTCTTGGCAGAGAGGTGATGCACTAGAGGTGTAGAATGAGACATACATCTTCTGACACAGCTTAAGTATGGATTCGCTTGCATTTTACTTATTTTAAGGAGGGTTGGGTTTTTTGTTTGTTTTTTGAGGGGGAGAAGAGTGGTAGTGATAATCTCCGTAAGGATGAAAAGAGCATCAAGGAAACATTTTTAGCTTTACGTAACAGAATCATGGTGTCATATGAACCCTCATTTTCTAATCTCTCTATATGTAAATGTTTGTGCTTACTGATGATTGTCAAATTCATCATAATTTTAAAAAAGAAAAAAAAGTTACCGCCTTCTGGTGAACTCTCAAATACACATGTATCCATGCAAACTGGAAGCAGAGTTGTCCTTTGTCTAGTTGTGTCTGCAGCCTTGGGTGTAAATAAGTCATAAATTACTGTACTTGCAACCCACTTTTGGTGGAGGAGATGAGGGAAGAAAGTGTGTGTGTTCATGGGAAGAGAAAAGAATTATGCTTCAACAAAAGTCTAAAACAAGAGGGGTTTATTTGTTTTAACCACAAGTATTTATTGATGGATCAAAGAATACAATTTTAATGGAACAGTAAGGCACAACCGTGGATTAAAACAGTTTGCTATACAGCCAAAGGGGGAAAATGCATTTTTTTTCCTTGAGAACCTTAAATATGCAAGTCGTGAAGCCACTAACATACCTCTCTTAACAGATCACATTGGACAATTCTTCCCTTTTATACAATTCCTATATTACGTCATCTGAGCAGTAATCTAGGTTCATTCCCTCATGAGAATGTCACTGGCAATTTGC